AAATTTAAACATATTAAAACTTAATATATTAATTCATCTAACAATTTATTTTAAAAAATATTCTTCAATTAATCCAATAAATCTTAGCAAATATTTAAAATAGTCTTTAATTGGAGCAACTTAAACCTGCATGGATCAGCTGACGTCGAACTTGCATGAGTAATGAGCTTTATAGATAGGGATGGCAATGGGTAAAGTACCCGATGGGCACCCGCAAAATTTACCCACAATGGGTAGGGTATTTACCCGCTATACGGGTACGGGTATGGGTGTGGGTAAAAACTCGCAAATTTTAATGGGGATGGGTGTGGGTATGGGTATCTAAGTACCCACCCCGCCCCATACCCGCATATATATATATGCTTAAACTTTATTCTATAATTATGAATTGAATTTTTGTATTATTATATTACTTATGTGAAGTTATATAAGATTAATATAAAAATATATTTAATAATAAAGTAAACCAAAAAATTTATTTTGGTTTATATTTTTAATAAAAAAATTTATTTACTATTTTATATCATTTAATTAGGCTAACACAATTTAATTATTACATAGTTAATATGAGATTGACTTTTTTTAAAATATTATTTATATATGACACACATAAAATATTTTTTACACAAATATTTTTATTAATAAAATTATATTGATGATTAAATCATAAAGTGAATGATAAATAATAAATATATTATAAATTTTACAATCACCTACTATTACCGTAAACTTATTATTTATTAATAATATTTAAATTTTATTTTTATATTTTAATTTAAAATAATATTTTTTTATGCAACATATGTATTACAAGCACAACTATAATCTATTGAATCTAAATAATATTATTCTTACTATTTATTCACATTCAAAGAAGTTTTTGAAAAGATATAAATATAAAAAAATTATTGTTAATTTTTATTTGTTAATTTTTTTAAGATAAAAAAGTATAATTTTTTTTAATATACACGTATATTTCTTTATTATAAAATTTTATTGTAACTATTTATCTTTTATTCAAATTTTTTTAAAAATTAAATATATTATAAATATTTAATTCACTAAAATAATTTTTTAAAAATTTATATTTTTGATAAAATACTTTCGTATAGTATATGAGTTAAAAAATACTAGTATTAATATATATATATATATATATATTATATTTATTATTTTAATTAAATCTATTATTTTTCTTACACTTTCAAATTCAAAAGTTAAAAAAAATATTTTATGTATCAACTTTCTATCGTTAGTATTGAACTTCTCTACTCTAACTCTATTCACATTCTCAATGTCTGTCTCACTAAAACTTAATAACTATAAAATGTTATTCATTAGAGTTAGTTTTTAATGCCGTCACAAGAGGTTACTAAGTGATCCCACACGAAGGGACAACCATTGTACGGATCTATTTCGTTGTCGTTCTGACATTACCAATCAATCAAATCTCACACAAGATAGGATTATCACTGAAAAATAACTTGTGTGTTTAGTTTTGCTTATTGTTTCTAAGAATTTTAGTCTAGAAAATTATTATATTAAGATACATTTAACATTTATGATCTTTGAATATTTATTTTTTATCTATATTTGTACCTTGTTCGACAACTACATATTGAATTTTTGTATTATTATGCTACTTATGTGAAATTATATAAACATATTTTTCTTTATAAACATTTTTTTCTCAAACAAGCGCGGGTAATGGGTACAAGACGGGTATGCAGGTACCCAGAGGGTACGGGTACGGGGATTAATGTTCATACCCACGCAGGTATGGGTCCGGGTACGGGTATTTTTTTAAAACGCGGGTATGGAGATGGGTACTGTAGTACCCTACCCATTGCCATCCCTATTTATAGAGCCATATTAAGAAATTTAAATTTATTCGAACCTTTAAATTTAATATTTGATCCGTTTTCTTTTGCTATATTTGATTATTTCGTTAGACTGAACTATGTATTTTGCAGTGTATATATAATAATGATAATGATGAGGGTGTAGTTAGTATTTTTTTTCCTACGTAACACATATATTTTTGCTTTGATGGATTTATTGGTATTTTATTTTAAAACATATAATTTTTTAAATAAATTTATAATTTTAATAAATAATACTTCAAATAAAAATAACAATAACATAAAAATAATAATAAACACTCTCCGTCTTTAATTGAGGGGGGGGGGGGGGTAATAGGTAAATTGAATCCGAAATTGAAATGGGTATGTAAGTTATTTTTATGTTAGCCTTTTATTGATTGTTCCATTGCAATGTGATTTTGTGTATCCATACTAACAGGCTTTTAAAGAAATTTATGACATCGGCTGATTTATGTCATTGACTCTATTTGTAAGAAAAAAATTAATTATTATTACAGAAAATATTAATAAATGCTAACATATTTTTATCTTGATTTCTAATTAAATTTACTGTAATTTCCAATATAAGTAATTAATTAATTAATTTATTAACTAATATTTTCAGAACATCAGTTAGTAATATCTAGTTGTATACTTGTATGTAATTACAGCTTTATAGAGGTAGTTGTAGAAATAATACCCCGAGAATTAGGGGGCGGGGGAGGGGGAGGGGCATAGGTCCAGTTTATAATTTTGCATAAGTTTAATTTATGATTTTGGTTTACTGTGGGACTGCACTTTGGCATATTAGTGTTGTATATTAATGTATATACAACATTTTGGTGTATATTAATTTGCATTAAGTGTATATTGGTGCTGCATGTGTGCTGCATTTGGGTGCAACGTGGGAGCACTACATATTGGTGCTACATACTTTTTATTTGATTTGATTTTTATTTTTGTGTGTGTATTGATGTTGCATTTGTCATATTTTGGGACAAGAGTTTTATGTATATTGGTGTTGCATATAGACTGCAATTTTTTTGTGCATTTTGATGTACTTTGGAGTTGCATTTTGATGCATATTGTTTTAGCTTTCCATTTGGGTGCAATTTGGGACTTCATTAGGTGCGTATTGGTGCTACATATGTGCTGCGTATTAATGTTGCCTATACATAGCATTTTTGGGCTCATTGGTGCTCCTATGGGATGCATTTTGGGTGCATTTTTGAACTGCATATTAGTGCTTTTAAATATGTATTACAATTTCGGAATTCACAAACCTTGGTGTTGTATATGTACTACATATATAGTAACATAGAGGCATTTTTGGTGCTACATTTGGGTACATTTTAAGACTGCTTAGAGGTTGTTCGCATTGGTGCTGCGGGTTTGATACTGTTGAAGGAGCCGATTTTGCTTGGTAGCTTCATTGCAAATACAAGACTCGTGAATGAAAAGGCTCAAAATCCCATTTTTAGCTATTTACCGTTTGTTTTAACGGAAAAGATAATTTTTCTAACATTAACCAAACATCGAGAGTTTAGTATTAGTGAAAGTTCTTTGAAAGAGTTATATTTTGGAATGTATATCTCATACGAAAGTAAGTTGGAATCTTCATTCATTTTTCTCTTCTTAGCTGTGAACATCACACTCCTAATTTTACCCTTGGCTTTTACTTTACCTCTGAGGTTATCAAATTCTAATGAAATTAAATTTACAATATACCTAAAGGGTCACTTATATACTAATTAATTCTTAAGCAGCACCAACGATCGATGATCAAAGAAAGACTAATCAAATAATGAATCCTCTTGCTTAAATCGCCATGCAGTACCATATTAATAGATAAATTAAACCCAATGGGGCCTAGAACATAGCGAATTAGCGATTCAGTAGGTAAGGATAAAAAAAGAAATCAGGAAAAACGTTTCCCCTTTATCGCTTTTTTTTTAAATACTACCTCGGGAGAGCCATCTTCGTTCTCGGATATGTTCAGGAAATGCAGATAATTTGTGTCGTGTAAAAGCACCCTTCACAAAAAATTTACCAATGAATTGTGGATATATAACAGTTTATTTTATTATGAAGTTTGAAAAATATTAAAAATGGCGAAAGTACTTTCAGCAAAATTGGTGGTCAATGTGTTTATTTCAAAATAGATGATTTTTTTTTTTAATTTAAAAATCAAATTCATCACCTTATTGTACATTCTATAAATTTTAGGAAATTCAATATATTTTTAAAATATAAATAATTTGTGCTATATATCATTGCACTGACAAACTTTCAACTCAAGTTAGATATAACAAATCTCACTCCTACGTTGTATCAGTGCGTCACCTTTGTCTCGTCATTAACAATAAAATGACACGGTCTCTGTTCTGTTTTGTAGCAAAGACAAAAGGTCCCTCAGATTCCCACCAAAATATGCCTTGTTTACTTATTTGGATCTAATTTTCAATCTTCGACAATCATTTTTGTTAATAAATTAAAATGTATTTAAGAACTTCATAATAACAAGGCAATTTCTATGAAATAAAAATTTAAAATTAATTTAATATATTTAAAAAAAATGTGGATAGTTGATATCCAGTTGTTCAAATTATTTTATTAACCGAGTGAAATGACACCCGAATGTCATAATGGAATTGGATGGTTAAGATTTCAAAATCATTTCTGTTATAAACTGATGTACATCGCTTTAAACAAAAGTGACTGAAATAACATTTGATATAAAAGAAAAAAAAACATTATTCTTCTATTGAATTAATTAAAAAATAATACATTTCTTTAGGACGTTGGAAGGAGTTGCACGCGTTAAAGTAGTAAGCATGTCTCCATCTAGTGAACATTACTCGTAACAACTCTACTTCTTTCCCGCGTTATTACCGGCAACACCTTTCATTTCCTGATTTAATTATTCAATTGGATTAATCAATCACTTTATTTATATTTTTGTAGCTAAAGAAAAGGGGAAAAAAAATCCCTGCGGATGCAACACCGCATTACTTTTTCATTTTAAAAATAAAAGTCGATTGGGAAAAACAAAAACTGCAAGCCCTGTTTGGTCATTTCACGTCAACACCTTTTCTCAATTTCAATTTCATCACTCCATTTTTCTTCTTTTGTCGTCCTCCTCTGACGCCGAACAGCGCTGCACTCACTCAGAGCCAAAACGAGCAAGAGAGAGAAAATTAATGAGAACGGAGGTAAACAGAGTGAGAGTGTAGAGAGAGAGAGGAACCCTAGGAGCTAACATTTTCATGGAAAGCGTGGCGCATTCTCGGCAACCAAACAAGGTTCCCGTTACGGTTTCCAAGAAAATCACCACCGGCAGCGGGAATGGCGGTTTCTCGGGGAAAACTCTATACGACGACGTTTACGGTGGTGCGCCGAAGTTTGCCTCCGGCAACTCCCTCTCGCCACGTTTCGAAGACTACGGCGAGATTTTCGCGAGCTTCCACGCGCCGCGTGCCTCCTCCATTCCGGTGTTGGATCTTCCGGCGGTAGACGGCGGCGAGGTCTTCTTCAACTTTCAAAACGCTGGTTTCGACTACGCAGAGGTTTTCGGAGGCTTGGACAGCCTTGATTTTTGGCTTTCGTACGAGGACTTGTTTCGCCACGGTGTCTCTGAAGAAGAAGAAGAAGAAGAAGAAGAAGCATGGTATGAATGTGATCGTGGTCTTAATGTTTACCGTTTGCTTTTGAGTGTTTGATGAAATGCATGATCCAGTTTGTGTATCGGATTTGGTTTTGTTTAAGGCGTTGTGGAAACTCAAGTGTTGTTTAACGTAGCTATGGATAATGAGTTGATGCTATTCAGTATTTGCCTATGATTTTAGTTTTCGTCGATGAGGTTGAGGATTTTCGGCCAATGGTAATCAAGTGAGGCTTTTATAAGAAGAAAAAGGAACTATGGTTCTGTTTCTTCTTTTGTCATAGGAGCCAGAGTTATGGCTTCAATTCAATGACTTGTTTCCCTTAGAAAAGTTCTTTTACAGAAAATGGAAGATGGTAAATTTTGTTTTTTTTTTAAGGTTTTGATCTTACTCCGTTCACCCCACCCCTCTCTAAAACAGGGATGGTAATTATGGTTTTATCGATTAACTACTGAATTCTTTGTATTTTTAGATATATGTTTGATGGACTCACGGTATCTGCCAAATGCATTTTGTCCGCTTTACAGTATTTCTATGTGTATTAGTTGAAGTTTTTTTATGCATCTTTTTAATACTTTTATTGAGCTTTGTCTTCAGTTTATCTTGGACACTTTAATTCTATGTAGATTGTCCCTGTCTTCTATCTTTTTTCACATTCAGGATTTACTTTAGTTACTGAGAATGGAATATGATAATATTACAATGTGTTCTTTCATCATTGGTAGGACTCCAGTGGAAACTGATTCATTGTCCGGTGACGTGGACCATTTTGGAGATAATCAAGACCTGTTAAATGGAGATCATTTCCGGTCTGTTGATGAAAGTACAGAGTTCAACATTTCTTATCATAAGGTCAATGGTACCAGCAATGAAAATGTGTCAAAGGGAAAGAATCATATAAGTCAGCTGCATGTTGTTCCGGGTTTCACACATGTATTTGATGAAAGCGCACACTTTCATAGGACTGATCCTTCCTTACAGGTTGTTGATGACGTTGACCTTGATATGGAATTTAATGCAAGCCAGGCAAAGAGAAACCATCTGAGAAAAACTATGTCACATCTGAGTAATTTTACTTCAGGTGAACAGGTTCTTGATAGTGATCTTGATCTGCATGATGTATGCAGCAGAAATGGTTCTCGTTCCAGTGAGATGTTTGTAACTGTGTCTGACATTAGTCTCAGAACTCTACCCTCTCAGGTGCCACCCCCTTCTCGGCTACCACCTGTGTTAGATGCAAAAAAGGGGCACACTAGTGGATTTTATTCAAACAATGAGTGGGTTGATCCTGAAGAGACTCTAGCTGACAGTTCACTACCTTTCTTTGATGTGAAGGTTGATATGAATTCTTCCTCTGCTGTTATGAAAGAAGTTATGCATAGACCTGAAGCAAAACTTAGGAGTGCCAAAGAATTGAATGAGAGAAAGAAGAGGGTTTCAGAAAACAATGTAAAATTTAATGAAGCAACGATGAGTGTGAATTTAAATAGATTTAATAGTTTGAATGATGGGGAAATGCTGACAACTTCTGATCAGAGAACTGGCAAAATGAAAATTTCTGTCACAGATGAAAGGCACAAAGCTAGGAAGGCTGCTCCAGAAACTCAGGAATTGTTAGAGAGGGAAAAACTTCTTAACATGTCTGAGGAGAAGCATATCAAGGAATCCAGGTCATCTGAAGAATCAGATAGAAGTACTGAAGTTGGTACGTGGAAAGGAGCGAATGAATTTTTTGAATTGGTGGGAACAGAAGAATCTGGAAAGGTAATTCAGCCCATAAACCGTAGTCATTCTAAGAGTTTGGTACATGATACCAGAATACACGAGTGTGACAAGAAAGAAAGAGAAGCAGCTAGTATGCAAGAAGAATACAAAAAGGTTAAAGCAAATGTAGAAGGTTATCAGCTGGAGGAACGCAAGAAGAAATCTAAACCAGGAAATGGGGCTTACGAACAGGGAAAAAACATTAGGAGGTCTAAATCATCTAATGAGGAATGCAGGCAGAGGGAGCATGTGAAGAATAATGAAATGACTGAAACCTTTGAGCTACAAAAGAGAGAGAAGACTAGGATGGTCCAGCCACATGGAAAAACTGAAATGAAAGAAACTAAAGCTGATCAATCAAGAAGCTTAAAAGAGATATCTGATACCCAACACAAGGAACTTAAACGAATGGAAGGTGAAAAATCAAAAGAGGTGGATAGACAAAAGCTAAGTGAAGTTCAATGGAGCATGAAGCATATGGAAAATGAGAAGAAACTAAGAGAGCTTGAAGAGCAACAACTGAGTACGAAAATGCTCAAGCAGTCTCAGAAAATGAAAGAAAATGGAAATTTTCAAAGAGAAGCTTTTGTTCCTGGAGCCGCAGAGGGTGAGCAAAGGGTGAAAGATTCTGTGAAGCTGGAAACATTTGAAAAATCAAATGAAATCACCTTTGAACAAGGTAAAGAAAAGACATTTGAAAATGAAGAAATTGAGGAAAGCGTCAAAGCTTATTTTAAAATGGAAGAAAGTGATGAAGGCTCAAAGCATACTCTTGAGCAGGTAGAGAATGAAAAGGGACACGAAGAAGTCTTTAAACTGGAAATGAATGAGGAAAAAACTCAAGTGGCTTTTGAACTGGGGGAAAATGAGGCATGTGAAAGGGATCAGTATAAAGAGATATTTAGAGAGTTTTGTGATGGTTATAGAAAACAAAATAGATTAGAAGGCGTGGGTGATACCATAGGGGTTCAGAAAGTTCTGGAACAAGCTCTTGAGCTAGAAATGAATAGTGGAAATAAGGCTCAGAGGAAGAAAGGAATTGAGAGCCCATCAGAGCAAGCATTTGACAGGGAAGGAAGTGTGAATATATCAAATGAGGATAGTCACTCCAAGCAACCTGAGAGGATACTCAAAGATACTGATAAGAATGAAAAAGATAAGGGATTGGACAAAGCTTTGGAACAAATTGAAAGTAGTGGAGAAGGGATAAACGTGAATTTTGCTAAAGAAACCAATGAGACATGGAAAACAGAGAATGGTGAAAATCTTCTGGCAGCTCATTCATCCTCCATTTATGAAGAAAATATTGGAAAACCTCAGGTATGTAAAGAAACCATTGCTGATCTAGAAATTGAAAAGACAGGAACTGAGTGCAAAGTTGGTGAAAAGAAATTGGAAGATATATGGGTGGAAAATCTAATGGATAATGGGGATAAAAGAGCTTCTGAAATGGCCCAAGGAGAAGTAAAGCATTCAGGAACACATTCAAGAAAGGTGGTTTACACTGCATCAAATGCTAGTGAGCTTAGTTTTAGTAGTGAGCAGACATGCACTGAGAAAACTAAGACAGTCCCTCGAATGGGCTGTGATCATCAAACTCAAGAGAGGAAAATTTCTCAGGAATTGGGTGAGAAAGGAAACACAAAACATGTGAATGTTGCACTAAACCCCGAAGAAATCAGGGACCAAATGTCATCAAGCCAAGCAAACCTCTGTGGTGATTACAGAAAGAACACAGTAGTCAACGAACCTGCTACAGTACAAGAAGCGGTAAATATCCAGAAAACTTTTCAAAGGGCTCATGTAGCACATTCCACCAAAAGCAAAGAGAAAATTCTCAATGAAACTTATGCCTCAGTAGAGAAAGATGCTGAAAGGATAAGAAGAGAAAAAGAGTTGGAAAAAGATCGTCTAAGAAAGATAGAAGAGGAGATGGAGAGAGAAAAGGAAAGATTGAAAGACAGAATGGCTGTTGACAGAGCATTGCTGGAGGCTGAGAGGGAAAGAGAAAAAGATAGGATGGGTGTTGATAAAGCATCTTTTGAGACTCGTGATAGAGCGTATGCTGAAGCTCGTGAAAGAGCAGAAAGGGCTGCATTTGAGAGAGCAACTGCAGAAGCTCGACAAAGAGCAATGGCTGAAGCTAGAGAAAGACTTGAAAAGGCATGTGCTGAGGCCAAGGACAAAACATATGGTGATAAGGCAGCTGCAGAAGCCAGATTGAAAGCAGAGCGTATTGCTGTAGAAAGAGCAACTGCAGAGGCTCGAGAGCGCGCAATGGAAAAAGTAAAGATTGAGAGGGCTGCATTTGAGTCCAGAGATCGATTAGAGAGATCTGTATCTGACAAATTTAGCGTTTCTTTTAGAAATGATGGAAGACAGGGCTCTTCATCCTCAGTAAGTATCCCTCTTAAATCTGCAAGTGAGAAATTCTGTAAATGCATACTGAATTTCTAATTTCTAATAACTATATGACAGGATATGCTGGATTCACATTTTCAGAGCTCCTCTACTCATTCCAAATATCCATATTCCTCCATTTATGGTGGTATGTGACGTGTGACACCCATGCAGTATTTTAGTATAAACTAACAATCAACATTTTACTGCAACCACTTGATATAATGCTAAACAGTTATTGTCCTTTGCTTGAAGCTTCCTCTTTTTCTGAAAGATCAGAACAAGAAGGTGAATCAGCTCAAAGGTGTAGAGCTAGACTGGAGAGATATCGCCGAACAGCTGAGCGTGTGGTAACATCTTCAACCTTGTTTTGTTAATCATACATAAATTTGTACAATTATACTTATAAAGTAATAATCTTGACCGTACATGAAAATGTCAGGCAAAAGCTTTGGAAGAAAAGAATGTGCGTGACCTTGTTGCTCAGAAGGAGCAAGCTGAGAGAAACGTAAGCTTATATTCTAACAGTTGTTCTCTATAGGTTCTGAAGTGTTGTTTTCACATTTTATTGATTACTCCAGTCTTATGCTCTTTCCAGAGATTAGCGGAGACCCTGGATACTGAAGTCAAGAGGTGGTCAAGTGGAAAAGAAGGAAATTTGCGGGCATTACTTTCAACCTTGCAATATGTAGGTTTTTATATTCTAAAATAAGTCATATGTTTCTCTTGTCTCCTTTTAATCCAAACTTATTTTTATTAACACTATCAGGGGATGACATTTCAAGAACTGGTAAACAAGTCTCAAATAAATGAATTAAATTGGTGGCTTAATCTTGATTCTTGATGTTCTTAAATCTTAACGGGATCCTCTTCCCTTTTCCTCCCGAGTACATTGTACATTGCTGATCCCGATTAACAATCTATATGTAGTTTCTTACCTAATTTTTCCACCTTGTCAGATCCTTGGGCCTGATAATGGATGGCAACCAATACCACTCACTGAGGTCATTACTTCTGCTGCTGTTAAAAAGGCTTATAGGAAGGCCACCCTTTGTGTCCATCCTGACAAATTACAGCAACGGGGAGCAAGTATTCAACACAAGTACATATGTGAAAAAGTCTTTGATCTCCTAAAGGTATGTCAAGCATGCCATCTTTCACCTAGTTTATTTATTTATTTGAACCATGTGCATAGGAGATTTGGAATATATAAGTCTTGCCATAGCAAACCATAATGTATATTTGCATATGAAAGTTTGAGCTTGGTGATGGTGGCGGTATTCGGCACCTCGTACCGAAACTACTACCTCGAGCTTGAATGTTGATAAACATTCCCTCTTCGGGTCCTTGTTTCTTGCTTCTTACTTAACAAGTTGGTCTCAATGCCCTCCTCATTCTGATGATAAAACGTTAAAGTTGGATAGAGCATCTGAGACAACATTAATTGACTATTATGATCTGTCTCTCATTTTGGCTTTTCGTTCTTTTCTGTTGCTTTTTTTTTTCAGGAAGCTTGGAACAAATTCAATTCAGAAGAGCGATAGCACACCCTGTTCTGTTCTTTTTCTTGTTCCTTTACAAATTCCCTTCCCCAGCGATGTGGGATCCCGAGTTCGGATATACCTCGGTTATTATTTTATTACAGTACACGTTCTGTAATATTATTCCCTAAATATTTATATGTAAGAAATATTCATCCCACATAAAGCAAGAAAAAAAAAGAAAGTTCAAGAGGTAAATGTTGGATTTTTTTTTTTATGCATTTCTAAAGTTTTAATGAAAGTTAATTTTGCTTTAATTAATTGATTCTTATTTTATAATTTATTTTATTATTGTTAATATAAGATTTTGAGGGGATTTAGACTATTTTAATGGGATATTTTTGACTTGGTAAAAATTCTATCCAGTATAACAAATCACTACTCCCTTTCTTGCTCCATCTTTGCTTTCCTTATGCTCTCTTTCTCAACTTCCTTTGTTTGGTGATTTAGATTACAATTCTTTTATTTATTTATTTTGTCAGTTCATGAATCTAAGTTTATTTTATTCTTTGTATTTTTAGATATAAATTTAATATAATATTTTATATTTAATAAAAATTTAGCAATTTCAATACTTAAAATTAAGTTTAAAAATTGATTAATTCAACAAAATAGCAATTTTTTTTACCGTTTTGTTTTCATCCCTACCAACATTTTAATCCAGCAAATTGAGTGGTCAAATTTGTGCGATACCAAAAACAAAAACATACAAAGTAGTCAAGAATGGGTCCAGAGTCGCAGTGGCAGGGAGATTGAGAACAATATATATATATATATATATATATGAGACAAAAAAAAATTTAAATTTAAAAATTTTTACATTTCATTTGAGTCTTTTATTTAACTTTATAATTTATTACTTCACTTGTCACACTAGATTTAAGTTAAATAAAAAATTTAAATTGATTGTAAGAATTTTTAGACTTATATTAATGTAAAAAGATTATATATATATATATATATATATATATATATATTATATTATATTTTTTTTAGATGACTTCTTATTGGCGTTCACACCAAAGACTGAACACGTTTCACTGTTGATTTTAAAAAAATGAGATACAAATATTATTAGGTGAATTTGACAACAAGAATCACCCGAGGCGGTTTAATTTAATAAAAAAACAAATTTAAAAAGAGTGAGACAAAAAATTAAAATTCAAACCTACTCCTGAGACTGAAATCTGCCCAAAAACTGTTTTACTTTTTTTTTAATTTATATATTTTTAAATAAGTAATATATTAACTATATTTTAATTTAAATAATATATAAAAATAAATAAAGAATAAAATATTAAAATAAAGGATTGAAGAATTAAATTATATCTTCAGTAAAACGCGTAATTTAAATTTGTTTTCTAGTTATTGTTATAGTTTAAATTATTTAACTATTATAATAAATATAAAAAATAAGAGTGTAAAAATAAAGAAGGAAACTGATACCGTAAGTCAGCTGAAGCTGTTGTGAAAAGTTCATATTTAATTTGTCAAACATAGGAGGGAGAATTTCATACTTGTTTGTTGAAAAATTAATAATGTGCCACTTTGCCTTCACAAAAGAGCCTACCTCTTCCCTAAACTCACATGGAAGGACTTTTCACTGATCAATTCGATCTCAACTGGTCATCATAAGGATCTTACAAAAGAAGAAAACAATTACAAAATTAAACAATTTACTTAAAATATATAAACAAGTACTAATTTTTCAGAATAATGTTTGGATTCATAAATATTCAAAATCAACATTTATTTAACAAATTTTTTTATTACTCTTTTTGTTACATTATATCGGCTATCTTTCTATCATTTTTCTCTCTTATTGTCCAATATATAAATTCCAAGATCGAGTGTCTATTGTACATTTTCCATTTCAGAATTTCACACAAAGTTGAAGTTAGAAATAAGATTAATTCATAATCTTTTTTTCTATTAATTGTCTCATTCAAACTTAGCTTGTCTACTCAGCAATTTATTTGATTGCTTCAAAGTATCTACGGTGTGTGCAAACAATACAAATTCAAAAGGCGGACACTGTTGGGGGTAGGGGGCAGTTTGACTGAGAAAATCAAGATTGGCATACCGAAAAAAAACAAAAAAACAAAAAATGTCATCTTCAAAGGGAGAAGAGAGAAATATTTTTTGCACTTTCCTGGTAGTGGATAATAGCACAAAACTGGAAATATTTTTGGATATAATAGCAAGGACGGCAGAAAAGTCAACATAAATTGCACGACAAATGCTGCTTTCAAATCACAGAACTGTAGAAAACATTCAAAACATGTTAAATTAATGAATAGAAAAACGTGAAGGACCAAACTATTAGCTAACCAAACTTGACTTCAGATGCATATATAAAGCCATTCATTATGTTTTGCTTCTTCAAGTTAGCAATCTCAAAACTGCAATTCCCACCAAGCCTTTTGCTCTCACCTCCCGACACTGTGAGTACATCAACAAAATCTTGTCTTTCACACAAGAATTAACCATGTTTAGATCCATGAGTACTAGAAGAGGCCCTGCGCGGTATGAAAGATTAGGTAAAGAATCTGCTACCACTGCGCTTTTGAATGAGGGGTTCAAGAGGAGCACAAGTTTGCCTTCTCGTGCATTCAACTCTTCAAGAAAAATGGGCCTAGGCTCAACCTTTGTGGAGATTAATCTACAAAGAAACCCCACGAAGAAGGGTAATAATGACAAGAAGAGTCATCCACTACTCAGCTTCTTAGATCTTCGTAGGAAAAAGAAAACAACAGCTAGGCCTGAATTTGCAAGGTATCTTGAGTATCTCAAGGAAGGAGGCATGTGGGATTTGAATTCCAATAAACCTGTGATCTATTACAAATGATATATTGCTAGGTAGACTGGTTCGCGTTTGAATACAGAAAACATGTTAGTTTTTCCTGTAAGAATTGTGAATTTTATTCTCATGTGAAATCACTTTGAGAATTATCAATGTAGAGTAATGTGTACTTATGTTATTATTAATAATTCATTTGAATCGATTGCAAACATGGTGGAATAAAACAATTTTATTAATTAAGTTCCTAGAGATTTATCTAAGCAACGTTAAATCTGCTTGGCCGATAATAGTAGTATTTGTTAATGAATTTTTTTTAAAAAAATAACAGCTTCAACCTTTTTATTCTATTTCGGATCAATTACAGCATATTTAATACTGAAATGTTGAATGAACAACAATTTTTAACCAGTGTAAAAGGAAAAAATGTATGGTGTCTCCACTTTTTTTTTATATTTAATGTAATAAGGGTTAAAAAATGTAATGTAATATGGAAAGAGGAAAAAATATAAACAAATGTAAAAGAAAATGTAAATATATAATATAAGGGTTAAAAAAGTTACTCAAATAATAAAATCCTATTTGATATCGTTAGGTGTAACTAATTATAGGCGTAGATTTACAATTAAAATTGACAAATACTAACCAGTGTTCTAAAAGTATTGATTGAGAAAGTTAAAGTGAAAACATTTTGTTAAAAAAATATAATAAATTTATTTTTATTTTATAATTTTAATGTAATTTAACATAATATTTAATAAAAATTTATCATTTTTTTTGCTATTTGACGGGACTTACAAATCCTAAACACAAAACAAACTAGATAAAAAAATAAAAAAGAAGAAGAGGAAGCTTTGTAAAAATAACAAAAAAGTATTATAACTCTATCACCTAATATAATAATATAATTAGCACACTGGTGAGCTTATCTAAAAATGTGACTAAATTTAACAAATTAAATATTTCTAAAAAGATTCATAATTTCTTTAATAACAAGATATAATGGATGATGATTATTTTTTATATTTAAAAATAACTAAAGAGATAACTTTTTTTATAATTAAACTCAATCCAAATTAAATGGATATTTCTAGAGATGACCAGTTTAATACTCCAAGCAATTCTCTAAAGCTCTATTGCAAGTAGAGAGCAAAAATGAAAGGAACAGTAATAATTAACTATGAAATCACCTTTGTGATTATAAATCAAACCCTCACAGCTAGTTGTTGTCAAAGTCTGAAGGACAAAACCATCAATGTTAAAGTTTAAACTACTTCTCTAAGAAATGTGTCAATTGATTTGACATAAGAGTTTCAACAAAACATCATCATTTTTCAAATTACTCTTGTCATAAGAATGCAGATAATCAAACTCAAACGATCATATTTAACACGACATCATTACTTAAAGGAAAACTTTAGAAGATAATACAATTCTTTTTTTTTTTTTTAACAGGTTATAAGTAACAATAGCAAATAGAGAGTGCCAAAAAAGATGCACAGGAAAGTTATGGACAAACAAATTAAAGAGAAGCCAATTAGATAAACTCATGCTAAAGAAAGAGAACCATTTATCAAGGAAAAGGAGCTTATTTCAAATTTGGTTAACTCACCAACAGTTCTTAAGGACATGAATCACAAATTTCGGGACCTCATTACATCTAGCACATAAGGAAAATTAGTCATTTTAAGATTAAATTTCTCCTTCATTAGTTAAAAGTCTATTGGAAGCAACTTTCTATAGAAAAACATTAAACCTAGGAGGACCTTCCAATCACAAATTAAATTAAATATCTAATTATTGCTATTCTTATTCTAATTTACATTAGAGAGTAGATTATAAGCTAAATTGATTGAAAAAAAGACCATTATTAATAAATTTCTTAAAAACTTGATCCTAATTGCTAGAGTATAGATGAATCAATTAGAGCAATTGAATTAGTGTTAGAGGAAATTTGTCTTGTTTTCTACCAATTTCAACTACCATGATGGGAGTAGAGGCCCATAGGATCCTCCAAATTATTCCCATTAATGGGATGAAAAGCAAAAATAGATAATTTTTAAAAATCATGAATCACAGTTGTCTTATCAAAACCTAATAGTGATACCATTTTCCAAAATCTAGTTTAGTCCTAGGTAAAAATAATCCTAAACAGCCACCATACATTTCTATAAAGACAAAAAATATTGGTTGTTGTAAATTTCAGAAGATTTTTTTAAGACAAATTTATATTTATTACAAATTATTTGGGACTAAAGATCATTAGAGGAGCTTATAAGCCTCCAACAGAGTTTTATTACGAAAGTTTTATTGAGTAGATGAATGTCTCTAAACATCAAACTTTCTTCACTCTTAGATTTACAAATATTTTTAAAAAATTTATTATTTTTAATTATTAATTAATGCTCTAAGAATATTAATAAATAAGACTCTTAAAGTTATATTGAAAATACTTGTATATTTATAAAACTGTGTTAATAATAATAATAAAAAGAAAAATAATATTAGTCTTAAAAATTTAAATTTTTAAGAGTGTAAACAATTAATAATGATAACATTTTATTAGAAAAAATATATATAACATTATTACACTTTTATAACTTTATTAAAATAAACGTATTTTTTTAAGAAATTATTATTTTTTTATACTTAAACTAAACTTCAAGACTAAGATTAACAAAATAATAATAATAATAATAATCACTATTCAATCTGTTGACCATGTTTAATTTTCTGAACTCATGACCGGCTATTACCCAGGGAGTATAAGTTTCTCAAGGCCTTCGCCGTCACTCCCAAAAAATGTCATCAACAACATTATTAATTTGTTTACTGGTCAGCCACCATCGTTATTTTGGTCAATTAAGAATATGATTCATTATGTTACACTTGTCCCCTTCACTATTCAATCACATTTTGGTTAGACCCATTGCTTATATTCAAACTTATTTTTAAGTTTGAAAGGAATTTGACAATAAAATTAATTAGTTTAAATTGAGACATTTAATAAATAAAATATTGATTAAATTTCAAAATATAGAAGAATGATTAATTTCAATTTTTTTTAAATGACACAAAGTTGTAAGAATATGTGACTTTGTTTTTTTTTTTTCACCTTTAAAAGTTTTTGTTGAAATTATGAACAGAATATGTTCATGTCTCAAAATGTTACGGGAAAATGAGGTAGTGAATCTATAGTGTTAACTTTGGCTTAAAATATGCCATTTCTATCATATCGTATACCCAAATGCAAGTGAAATGTTTCATCTAAGTCTGATGTAGTCTCAATGCAAGGACAAAATACCCTTTGTAATTTTTATGCCCTTCAATGAATACGAATCAACAAAAATCAAAGTAAAATGGCTAAGAAAACCCCCAAAAAAAATAAAATGAATCCAACAGAAACATTATTAACAATTATCAATGCTTGTCCACTTGTAATGCCTCTAAATAGGATTTCAACGTGTTATGATTTTTTGCAATAAATAATATTTTAACATGAAGAGGAAACTTTGAAATCATATTAGGATTTCAAAGGTTACATTTGTTGATATATATATAAACAAAGCATTTGCATCAATACTTTTTCTTATTCATAGAAAATGTTAAATTCTACGTTTGTATTTCTTTTTTATTCTTACTTTTATTCTTCCTATTATCATCTTATTTAATCACTGGTGTTTTCTTTTTCTTGTATAGTTGTATTTTGACTTTTCTTATAAAACTATAATCCAAACTAATTAAATCAACTAATTTTATAACTATCATTTTTTTTTTATTTTGCAAAATTTCCAGTAGAAAGTTTAGTCCAGATTTATAAAGTGTAAGAAGAAAAGAAGCATAAAAATTCACTCTTCGCAAGTCCTCTAAATCTAATGTAATTTTTTAGGCCCGTAAACCCTTGGGCTAGTCTGTAGTAGCATCATGAAGTTGTTGGATATAGTGTTTACTCTCTTTGTAGTTTTTTTATTTAATTTTTAAAAAATATAACTGTATATGTCAGGTATTTTGCTTTAAAAGATAAGTAATACATACTGAAGGATTGAAAGAAATTTCACTCAAAAGATGCAAAATTCAAGATAAATATAATTCTAAAAATTTAATAAAAATTGATTATCAAATGTTTTTTTTTCTTTCATAAACAACACATAAAAATCCTAAAATTATCATATTAAAATATCTTTTCATTCTGATATGTTATAAATGATTGAGAAAGGTATCATTACTTTTAAAAAACTTATCTCTTAAATTTATAATTATTATTATACATTGATTATTGACATATAATTAAAATGTTTTTATACTATATAATAAAATATTATTTTAAAATAATTTTATTATATATAAATATTTATAAAAATATAATTTTTTTAATAATCAAATTATATATATATATATATATATTAAATAAAATACTTTTACATTGCACAGTTACTTGAATTAGTATAAACAAAGTAAAGAACAAAATGAAAGGTCAACTAAGTAGTTTATGAACAATGCACAAGTTAAAGTTCAAACGGCACTTTATTGACTTAACGATAATGATATTCAAATTGCAAACGACGACAAGTTATTGCAACGTGTTGTTGGACCAATTGAAGGAAAAAATCAAAGCAAGACTTGCCTTAAAGAAAAAAGAAGAGCACCTGCAACTGTGCCACCTCTCCCCTATGATTGTTGTTTATTTCGGAAGGCACCTAATTTGTATATTTTGATCCTCATAAAATAAAAAAACCAATTCAAAAGAGGTATTCATACTTGTCTAAAAGTCAATAATATGCTTCTCCAAAATATTATTCTATTTATTGCATGACGCACGCATCCCGAATGGAATGGGCCAGGCCCATCCACGAGAAGTTCGTCCTCGTGGCGCAATAAATAAATAAATTTTAACTAAGAATAGAAAATGGATCTCAGAAGGAGTAAAAAAAAAAAAGAAAAAAAAGTGGAAGAGTGAAAAGAGGAACAGGGGAGGGGAGGGGAGGGGAGGGTAGGGAAAAAGGTGGAAGGTGTGTAGAAGGATGAAATTGATTCCACAGGTGTGGGAAGTGTGTCGCTAACAGACAACATTATAGAGAAATAAACATACTTCCAAAAAATATGCAGCCTCGCACGCCTCTCTTTGCAGGCGCTGCCTCCTTCTTTCTCACCACTTAGTCCTTTTCTCTTCACCCTATCCCTCCCGCTTCTTCTTCTTCTTCTTCTTCATCACGCAAGGTTTGCTTCTTCTTCTTCTCCTTCTTTTAATTTTAACCTTTCTCATTTTTCTCCTTTGTTTTCCTTTCTGATTCCTGATTTCGTAGGAAGAAATTGTCATGCCAATTTCAATTTCGCTTTAGCGATTTCGATTCCATTCCATTTTAGGTTTCGGCTAAATCTTTCATTCCTTGTGAGTTTTTTTTTTTTTTTTTTTTTTTTGTAATATAATTATTACTTGTGTAAAGCAGTTTGGTTTCGTTTCTTCTTTTCTTATGCGAATGGAAGATATAATTTCGATTTGGTGAATCTTTTCCATGTTTACTAGAAATGAGATAAGGTTGGGCTTATATTAGGTTAGGGATTTTTGCGATTGTTTGATTTTTTTTGCCTGCTGAATTTTCTTCTCTTTATGTATTTGTCCTATCGATTGTTAATTTCTATCTGTTTAGATTTAGATTGGTGATATGCATGATTGGAAACTGCTTTCAATTAGCTTGACCTGGTTTTCATTCATGTGATCGTTCAAGTTTTAACATATATGTATAATTTTGATATGATTTTATACAGCCATGCCGACCTTTTCTGCCATAGCCTTTGATAGGTTGATAGAGCCTGGAGCTTCCAAGCCTGCACCTCATAGATCTGTTCCGGCTTCGATGCCTGTCCCAAGGAAGCTTGAGAGGAGAAGTAGTGAACCAACCCCAAAAAAGAAGGCCCCTCCTCCTCGTCCTCAGTTAAAGCCAGCACTCTATGCCACTCCTGAGGTGACGCCACTTCCGGATTCACCCTCTTCATTTCCTCCTTCACCTTACATCATCAATCACAAACGCCGTGGACCCCGCCTACAGAAGAGTTTCTCTGAGGTCAATGTGCAGGACAAGCAGAAGGGTCTTGAAGATGAAAATGCTAATAGTAAAAGCAATAATGATGATGTGGTTCCCAGTTCAGCTGGTGATCTCCAGGCCTCCTATACAAACATTGAACCTGTTAAGGAGGAGCAGGAGAATAGCGGACATGATACCAACCACAGTAGCAATGGTGGTGACCTTGGGTTCGGACATAGGGAAAGTGAAATTAGTAGCATTTCTAATGGATCACACGTGGATAAAGTAGTGGCATTGAATTTGGAAAGAGATGGTGAGAGTGAAGACTTTTTTGATCCGCATGATTCAATGAGTTTAGCAAGTTACACAGATGGTGAGGATAATACAGGTACAGAACGTGCTGTGAAACTCAGTGCTCCTGGTGGGGAGTTTTTTGATGCTTGGGAAGGTAAATTGATCTAGGTTCATTGCTGACTATTTCTTTGCAGTTGAGGGTATGCATGTAGACAATTACACCATAGGATGCACTCCCCTATAGAGTTTGAAATTGGGTACAATGCGTAGGAACCATTTTGCATTTCATTTATTATTTTAATTTTGCTAACGTTTTCTTAATGCCATTGCACTTGGGGATTACTGCAGTGATAAAAGGAATATCCTGATTCTCCATTGATTTATCAGTTTTAGCGCATATTTCATGTTTTTTTTGGACATGGCAAAGAGAGGATTGGTAGATGTCTTGGAAATATTTCACATCATAGATTTTCTTACTTGGCTCCTTTTTTCCTGTAGAACTCTCTTCTGAAGGTGGGACTCAAAATTCTCAATGTGATGTCGAAGCTGAATTGTGTGAAATAAGGTTAAGTCTATTGATGGAGATAGAGAAGCGGAAGCAAGTTGAAGAATCCCTTACCAGCATGCAAAGCCAGTGGGAGAGAATTAGGCAAGGATTATATCTTTTGGGGATTGTTTTGCCTGCCGATCTTATTGATATTGCTGAGAGTGGGCAGCAGATTTCTGATCCTGTTGAAGATATATGTCAGCAAGTTTGCATTGCTAGGTTCATATCAAACAGCATTGGGAGAGGAACTGCCAGGGCAGAAGTGGAGACAGAGATGGAAGCTCAATTAGAATCAAAGAATTTTGAGATTGCTCGACTATTGGAACGTCTTCACTGTTATGAGACCATGAACAGGGAAATGTCTCAGAGGAACCAGGAAGCAGTAGGTGAGATTTATGTCATATTTTGGCCTGCAATTGTATTGATATCATCGCATTTATCCTTCTTAGACCTTTATCTGTATATCTATGTCTTAATGTTTGATAAATATGTGTTGCTACTAGTTAGTATTGGTTTGATTTGTCATTTTATTTTTCTTCATAACACATTTCCCACTTTCCATTTAAAATGAGACAATATTTTTGTTCGGCAAAGAGTTGAATAAACTCTGGGTCTTGGCACAGTATCTGCTTTTTATCATTGATTGTGAATATGGTATGATAGCTTTATTGATTGGGTATCAAAATTGAATGTCCATATGTGGGGCCATATGTTTGATAATGTAAACAAGAAGTAAGATGCTGAGCTGTTTGGTGGCTTAAAATCCATTATGGGATCGCTGTACAGTGTATACCCCAACCCTCCAAAACAAGAGAATTACTGGAGGAAAAAGAAAAGAAATAAAAACGATTATTATTATTGTAAAATGAAGACCAGTTGAATATTTGTGATAATACACTATGAGCTCATAGCCTAGGCTTGTGTGCAGTGGCATTACAATAGTAGATCAAATGACAGCCATATAACTACAGTCACTAATCTTTAGTGTTTTGTTTTGCTAGATTTCTACTTAGGGTGTGTTTTGAGTAAACAACTTAACTAAGCACTTATTTAATAAGAGCTTATTTGTAAGCTTTACTGTGAAGTAACTGAAAAAAGCAAAAAGAAAAACACTTATTTGATTAGTTTTTCAATTAAGCTTATTGAAATATGTTAAAGAAAAGGTCATAAGCCACTTTTATAAATTCAAATAAACCTTGTAAAACAATTTCCCAATGTGCCGTAATGCTACAAATGATGTATGACATGCGTTGAAGTCCCACATCTACTATAATACTATAGATATGGCTAAATAAGAGCTTATAAAAGCTAAAACAATCCTCATCTTATGAACTATCTTTTGGGGTTGAGTTAGCTTTAAGTCCAAATTCAACATGTATTACTATTACTAGTGCTTTACATTGCTAAATTTTCTTTTAAGCCTTAATTTCTGTTTTATTTTCCTAGGGATTCAGCTTTCCATATTTCTATAACTTCTACATATTTGGTGTGCGTAAATGGTTATTTACTTCCTAAATTGGGGGGGGGGGGGGTGGTGGTTTACCATTCATGCCTTCCCATGCATAAATGTTTGCACTAGAACATGCAAGCACAGTGGCTTATTTACCAGCAACTGGGGAAATGCATGCTTTTGCATGGGAACCTTGTTTTCAGATTAAATGTATCCCCTTGTATTTTTGGCTTGCTTCATCTGTTTCATTTGTTATTTGCTATGTTGTTTAGAGATGGCACGGCGGGAGAGACAGAGAAGGAGTAGGAGGCAGAGATGGATTTGGGGCTCTATTACTACTGCCATTGTACTTGGTGGTACAGCTGCAATAGCATGGTCTTATCTCCCTGTAAGTAAAGGATCGACTTCTGCAGACCATGATCTGGTTCCAGATACTGATGATGCAACCAACTGATACACCAACTATACCATCAACACCAACTTGATTGCCGAGTGATGGTAGGAGAGGAGAATAAAAATTTTACGTGCTACTACTGTGTGGCAAACAGATCTCTTACTTGATCAATTACAATTTTCCGGCATTCTGAGTAATGTGCATAGTATATTGGGCCTTTCACTGGAATCTAGCTAGTAAGGTGAAGGGTTTTAGTCTGAGTTGAAATAATACCGCATAGTTTCCTATGGATTCTGTGAGCAAAGTATTTGTTTCACCTTATACTTTTCACAGAGCACATTTACAATACATTCTTTATGCTTGTTTCTCCAAGCATTTTATACCACTGAAGAAATTTGACACTTGGTGTTGCTGAACGTGCATGATCTATTATTAGAATTCTCCTTTCCAATCTGAGTGTTTCTGTAGTGTTTCATCAGTTGTGTTTCATGAACAAACGTATCGTAGTAATCTGCTAAGCGACTATTTTTGTCCAAGATGGATGGAGTTTTTTTTTTTCGTTAGCGCTTGAAATAAGATATGGCAGATTGTAATACTTCTATAAACTAGTGGTGATCCCGTTGCTAAAGAAGGCTGTTGATACAGCTATACATTTGTTAAGTGATAGGAAATTCACATTTTTTTTATCAATTTAATATTCTTTTTGGTGCTTTTAGACTTTATATATATGGCCATCCTAGTGATGCAACTCTCGATTGGGTAAGATGAAGATGTATTTAAATTTGAAATGAAATGAACTTAAATAATTTGATTTAAATTAATGATAAATATATTCTTACTGTTTTGCTTTACTTAAATTATCTTCTATCACATTTTTAAATAATTATTTTTTGAAATGAAAAAAAGGTGATTTGTTTATTTATTTATTTACAATTGATGTGTGAAGTTTGAATATCTGAAAACGTACCCGAGCTAATGATGGCGAGGAAATAAAAACAAAGAAATTACACACTTTCCTATTCCTCTCATATCATTAATTAAATAAATTTAAATAATTGCATTATCCCGTATTTTTTTTATTATTTTTAAAAAACTAATATTTTCAAACAAATTCTCTTCGGCCTTCGACTATGGCCTATGTTCTTGACGTGGGTGAAAGGCTTCGAAATTGGTTAATGCGATGGGGTGGGCGGCTTGTGGTAGGGGAACAGATACCAGAAATCATCATCCAAAGGTGGTTTTGAAGGCTATAAAACAGAGTCAGCAGGTTCTTCGTTGTTGGTTCTGTTTCGTTTTGGGGAGGAATGAGAGTGTTGATGTTGGGTCTGTTTGAAAACTGGCAGGAAAGAAGAGAGAATGTGGAGTGTAAGGGCGTCAGAAAAGCTTCAATCTTTTTTATGAGTAAACCATCAATTTGATGTGTATTTTTTTAAAAGTCATCAAAATAATCTTAGTAAAACGTCATTTTAATTTTTAACGTATTCAATTATTAATCATTTTAGTTTCTATAATTTCAAAAATTTATTAAAATAATACATAATTTAAAGAATGTTATTTTAGTCTTTAACTTGTACAATTATCAGTCATTTTTGATTCAATGTATAGAATTATCAATTATTGAATAAATTATTAATTTGGTCTCTATTATTTTTAGAATTTGTCAAAATAGTTTTTAAACTAAATAAAGCATTATTTTAGTTTTCAGCATATGCAATTGTCATTTATTTTAGTTCTTATAATTTCAAGAATTCATCAAAATAATTTATAGACTTAATTATGTTTTTAGTCCTCATAAAATTAGTACAGATAATTTCTTATAAAAGTTTTTGTTAGGATTTAGTACTTAAAAAGTCAAGAAGTTAAAATTTTGTTCATGTCATCAACTCTTCTCTGTTAAATATTGAATTGACAGATAGAAAATTTGTTCAACATTGTCACGTAATATATCATATTATTTATTTTATAATATTTTATCAATTAAAATAGATATTTATAAAAAAGTTTCTAAACATATTTATCATATTTGCAGAAAGATTCATCTTCTCCACATCACCTTCTCCGTTGTCCACCTCACACTCGCTCTGATCTCATCTTTTTCTCTAACTCCAACCTTCACTCCTTCCATTTCTTCCCATCCCACATCCTCGTTCTTATCTCATTTAGCAACAATTCTACTTTAGTGGGCTGCTTCAAAGCATTTAGCATGGCCTTCTTTTGTATATAAAGTTAGTACTATGAGAAAGTTTGGATAGTTTGGACAAAACTCACTTTATGCTACATCCTTTTTTGTGTGCATTTTGATACAGATTTTTCATGAATTGTATACATTAACCCAACACCCGCAACCCCCTCACCCCACCTGCAACACCTGCACCTGCACCCCCTTCCCTTTACACCACCCAGCCCCAACCCCAATCTACACTTCACCCTTTTCCCTTTACCCCACCCAACCCCAACCCCTTCCCCTTCTCCTTTCCCCTCTCCCTCATCCCACCCATTTCAAATATGTATTTTATGATTGTGTTATATTTTATTAAGTTCTCTAAAGATAGTTACAAATATCTACTTTATGATTGAATAAAATTTTGATCAAATTTTACTTTGTTATTGGAAATAGGTAAGGTATCAATGTGTGTTGAGTTTCAAACTCCACCAACAGGTTGTGCCCTTGAGAGTGAAGGGATTATAAAGTGCGAAGAGGTATTTGCATGATGAGGTTGGGAGTGAGTTTGGGTCTATTGGTAAGAATGAAGGTTGTAGGTGAGAGTGAATGTTGAGTGAGGGTGTGGGGGGGGGGGATGGGGAGGGAGTAAGGGTGAGAGTGACATGGTGGAGGTAGAGGTTGGGGTGAAGGGAGGTGGGGTTGCTGTGGCCAAAGAGGTGTCGAAGGAGGAAGAAAAAAACTTTCTTTTTTTGCAAATATGTAAAATGTGCTTAAGGATTTTTTTTAAAATATTTATTTTAAATAATAAAATATTATAAAATAAAATGACGTGACACGTGTTAGTTCTAAGTTGGTTTTCGTCTTTCAATACTTAACTAAAAAAAGTTAACGACAAATGACTAAATCTTAATTTTTTACTTTTTAAGGATTAAATTTTAACAAAAAATTTTATAAAAACTTATCACAAAATGTGCTAACTTTACAAGAACCAAAAACATAATTAAACCTAATTTATAATCTAAAAAAAATGTTATTTAGTCTTTAACATATATAATCACCAATTATTTGAGTCATTAATGTTTACAATTATCAATCATTTTAGTTTTTATCATCACTTAAACATTAGTTATTCTGATAAACAAGCTAATTTAACATGTTAAGTGTTAATTAATGATATCACTTGTCATTTAAAGATAGGATGATAGAATGACATGTTTTAAAGTTTATTTTCTTGAAATTTGTTAATTTGGTTTCTAAACAATTTTTAGACTACAAATTTTATGATTTAGATTCTTTCTCGTTTAGGTGAAAACTATATATTCAGTTACATTTTCGTTTAAGAAAAAATGAATATATTTAAATAAAAATATAAAAAACAACAAAAAAAAATTTATATAAAATTTGTTTAAGTAAATTCTATAGAACCTTGGTGAAAGGGAGGAGCGTAAGAGGGGAAAGGAGGCTAGGTGAATGTGTGAGAGCAGCAAGAGGAGAGCTTGGTGGAGGTGGGTGTGGGTGTGGGGGAAAAGCAAGGGTGGGTACAGGGGTTGGGTGTGGGAGTTGCGGATGCGAGAAAGAGAGGTACAGGAGAAAAAGTTGGGTATTGGGTATGAACGAAGAGGGAGATTGGAGAGGGGGAGGGGGAGCAGAAGGGTGGAGATGAGGACATAAGCTTCATTTAAAAGAATTTTATGTAATTTTTTTTATTATTTTTTATATTTTGGCTTAAGCTATGTTTGGATTCCATGTTAAAGAGAGAAAAGAAGAAGAAAAAAGAGGTTAGTGGAGTTTAACTAAGTTAATTAATTAGGAGTCAAAAGATTTTTCTAAACTATCAAAATCTTCTAACTTTAATTTTTTGAGTTTTTTTATTTTAGAATTTGTTCTCTATGCTAATGCTCTTTTTCCATTATGATTCTAATTTTTTTTTTCAAAATATGTTACTTTTTAAAGTAAGAATTTTTTTAAAAAAATTATAAAAAAATAAAGATATTAATTTAAAAATATTATTTTTTAGAGATAGGAAAATATTTAATTTTTTGAAAAAATAAAAAAATATAAATAAAAGATAATAATATTATTTAATTGATTAAATCATCGTTACTCTACCGTTACAATAATGGGCATTCAAATAAACGAAGAGTTTAACCATCATTTTTCCTCTATTCTCTTTTGCTCTTTTCTTCTATAAACTTATTTATCTTTCTTCCAAACATAATCTAAACGAAAATGAAATTGAACATAAATTTCATACTATAATAGGAGAGAATTTATATCTCAAATTTTATAAGAATTAAATAACTGATTAAATATTTTTTATGTCACCATTAAATGCTATATATCATATTTCATAACACTTGATATATTAAGTCATATTATTTATTAGAATAATTAATATTTAAATGACAATAAAGATAAATGATTTACAAGTAAATTATCAATTTATTCTAAGTTTTAATAAAATAGCTACTTCCTAAACTAAGTAAAGTATTATTTTAATTTCTATTGTAAACAATTGTAAATTATTTTAATCGCTATAGTTTCCAGAATTTATCAAAATGACACATAATTTAAACAAAATATTATTTTAATTTTTAATATATTTAATTATCAATTATTTTAATCTTCCGTATATATAAATATAAATAATTTATTTTCAAGTGACAGATAAAATTTTATTTATTTTGAAAACAAGTTCCGACGTCAGAATAACGTCAATTAAAAAAAAAATCAGCTGAGGGAAACTACTTGAGATGATGTGAGGGGAGAAATTATTTGAAATCTTAAAATCAAGTTTCACACACAAAAGCGCATTACAAAAAATTAAAAAAGGTGCAAAACTAAGGCTGAAGTGACAAGAAACATTTTATACAAAAAAAATGTTTGAAAATATTAATTTTAATATTAAAATAACATTCTCGTTTTTCTATGAAAAGAAAAGACATTAAAAGAGCAAAAATTTATTTAATCAAAACGGACTAATAAATTTAGACTGTATTGTTTCTATTAGAATAAAGAGGAGCGCTAACATTTCTATCTACATAAAACAACATTTAGGTACCGATTTTTTAAAAAAAATCTTAAATGGCAATGAAAATACTCATACTCTTACATTCTAATTGTTGGCATTCCTAACCTATGAAGCTTTACAAAACATGAAGAATTAGGAAGTGATGGGTGAATATGTAGTTTTGAACCACCCCAGAGGATCTTAATTTTCTATACAAAAAACTAAAAGTCATTAGTGCATTTCTTATTTTTCATTTTCTTCTCCATTTTTTATTCATTGTTTATTACATTCTTTTCCTTTTAAACATTCGAATCATTGCCGAAAAATCTTCTACATACTCACTTTGGCATGTTATTTACATTAGTCATTTATAAGATAATTCACCTTATTTTTAAACCACCCACAATGCAAGCATTTTAATTAGTCAATCAATAATTATAATATTTTAAAAGTTTACTTTGTCACCATTTATAGGCTTTTTCACCAACACATTTGAAAATACTTGACTTTGACTTTCATCTTCCACTGGTCACAACGACGTCGTTAAAAAGATATTTGGAATTAATAATTTATCCCATGACTTGGATAAAATAAAAAGGAGTGAAGCGGAACAGAGGCACTGGCAATGGAGAAGCTAGCTTCTTCAACTGCAACTGTTCCCACACGACAATTCCTCTTTCAACTTCAACACTCTCTCTTTCCCGTTCCCACCTTCACAACCCCAAAACCCTTCCACCGAAACCGAACGGAATTGCTGTCACAGCTTTGTTTCAGTAGCAGGCACCGTCGCTTTCAAGCATTCGCCAACAAACAGGACCAACTATGGCTGTGCGAAGAACCACAAGAATTAGAAGAAGAAGAAGAAGAAGAAGAAGAAGATTCATATCTGGACGATGACGATGACGCGTCTTTCTTGTCCCTCAGCGACAAGCCCGACAGGAACATTGCCTTGCTCGACGATTACGAGACCGAGGAGCTCGACCTTGATTGTGGCCCCGACCACCGAAGTGGTTTGTCTCCTTTCTCTTCGCCCTAAACTTGTTTCCTAGGATTTGTTTGTTGCTTTGATTTATTTATTTTTTTTCAAATGAGAATGTTTAGTGCTTGTTTGGTAAATTTATTTTTAAGAAATAATCTCTTTTATTTTGTAGAAAGAGCTTTCTAAGAATAAGCTATTATTTTTCTTAAAATCAGTGATTCCAAATGTGCATTTACGTGTGTTTTAATAAGTATCTTAATCTAGTACTTATTAATAAGTTTTTGTTGGAACAAACTTTTATCACAAAAGAACTTATGATATAATTTTGATCACAGAAGAGTTTATTGAATAAGCTTTTATTGAGCATTCAGTCCTTGTTAAGATCCATACAAGAAGTACAGGAGCCTAGTGTGGGGTTTATAGAGTTTATTTTGATAAGTTAAACCCAGACGTTTATTAAAATAAACTTAAAAAAGCTTTTAGGATTCTTAAATCATCTCCTTAAGTTCTTGTAAACTCTCCAAACGCTTCCTTAGAGTTTGTGCCTGCTTTTTGCATTTCTATTTTTTCAAATTTTGATGTGGCCCAAAATGTGATGCAGGATATGTGGCATTACTTGGGAAGCCAAACGTTGGGAAGAGTACACTGGCTAACCAAATGATTGGCCAAAAGTTGTCAATAGTTACAGATAAACCTCAAACTACGAGGCATCGAATTCTATGTATATGTTCTGGCTCCGATTATCAGGTTTTAATTTTAGTGGTAGCTAATATTTTCAGCTTGTTATAGGCATCTCATCTTGGGAACTTTAATGTGTGATGCTAGTTTTCTTGGATATTATCCTAGCTTTGAATTAACTAACAAGGTATTTTGATTGAAAACGCTGTGCTGTAATTAAATGTAGTTAAATAGTGCTCTTTAACTTTCTACATATTCATAAGTTCAAATATTGTGCTCTAGGTAAGAGTCTGTTTGATTGTTATAATTCATCAGTCATTTTTCATGTGTAATTTTTATATTAAAGTTGCATCGTTAGAAGATGTACAATATAGCATTTATATTTTTCCATTTCTCTGACCTGCCGATCTCTTGCAGATGATACTTTATGACACACCTGGCGTTCTACAGAAGGAAATGCACAAGTTAGACTCAATGATGATGAAAAATGTTCGCAGTGCTGCAGTGAATGCTGACTGTGTTTTGGTCCTTGTTGACGCACGTAAAGCACCTGAAAAAGTATGGTTCTTAGTTCTTACTTCATATAAAATGTTTTTTTTCTCTTCTTTTCCAAATTGCTTTCTATCTCTAGATTGATGAGGTGTTGGAAGAAGGCATAGGAGACCTCAAAGATAAACCTCCCACTCTATTGATTCTGAACAAGAAGGACCTTGTTAAACCTGGTGAAGTTGCAAAGAAACTTGAGGTTGGAACAAAGTAATTAGTATTTATTAGCATGTATGAGTTAATTAACTGATTTTGGCTTGACTTTTCCAGTGTTTTATGCTCTAATTATTTCAAATTCCTTGCAGTGGTATGAGAAATTTACTGATGTTGACGAGGTTATACCAGTTAGTGCCAAATATGGTCATGGGGTTGAAGATGTCAAGGACTGGATAATGTCAAAGCTTCCCTATGGACCAGCTTATTATCCGAAGGCATGTCAAATATCAGAATTTTGTTTCCCTCATTCAATTGTCCTTTTTTCATCATCACTGTTTCATTTCACTTTTAGAGATCAAAACAGGAGCCCATTTGAGAACAAAAGAACCATTTTCTGCTATTCCACACCTGACAACGAAAATAGTAAATGTATTTGATTATAGAGTTTACATTTAATCCAAAGTAAAAACTGGCTAGTTAACTTGGGTTTACGTTTAGGTTCTCATTGATGCAAACCAAGCTGTATATAAATGTACTCAACGGTCAAACTACCCAAATTGATTACTTGATTTATAAATTGTACCAGTTAATTTTGCTTGTTGAATATAGACGACATAAACAATAAATAATAAAGTGAAATGTGCATAGAGATCCAACATGAGGAGTCAGATTATTGTTTTTGCACCTTAGCACGTGTCTTGATTTTTTATTTTTTTATTTTTATATCAAATCCAGCAATCCCACTGTAATTAGCATGTCAATATGCTATACTGTTGACCACCTATAGGCATAGAGTGGCATGCAATTCTGGATTCGTAGCAGGTGACATAGGTAGTGGGGTATGGAGAAGGCTGTTAGTGCTTGCTGGCAATCAGTGTATAGTTAATTACACCTGTATTATGACTGTAGTAGTCCATGTACTGTAAGAACTGGAGAAAGAAAACATTTTAGATATGAGACATGTTATATAATGCCTTTCTGCTTCACTATACCTCCAATGGCACAAATAGTGTGTGCAGATACCAACCCATTGGTATTGCTTCAATTCTGCGAATAGTGTGTGGAATTACCTATTGCTCTGTATATGGATTTTGCTACGAACTGGTGTAGTATAGTGCAGATCCCCTTTGGTATCATACTATCACTATAGCATGCTATTATAACTGTGGATACAATAAGAACCTGACGATATCCCTTGTCATTTCTTCTAAAATACTTGTTTCTTCCCTGTAGCTGCTTCCATAATGTTGTTCCTGAATTCACAGGATATTGTCAGTGAGCATCCAGAAAGGTTTTTTGTGTCAGAAATTGTTAGAGAAAAGATTTTTATGCAGTATCGAAATGAAATTCCATATGCATGTCAGGTAATTGTTGAGTTCATTTTTTATATGTGAAATAGCCGCCTTCCCCTCCCAAATTGAAGGAGTGGCTAACTTCTTTTTGTAGAAATATTTGCATAGATTTTCTTATTTTCTATTCCTTCAGGTAAATGTGGTAAACTATAAAGCTCGGCTGAATGCAAAAGATTACATACAAGTAGAGATTTTGGTTGAGAAAAACTCTCAGAAGATTATCCTCATTGGAAGAGTATGTCACTTATCTCAGAATTCAGTGGATCATGTGAAATTATGGAATTTATTTGAACAGGTCATAGTGTCGTGGCAATACATCCAATGCTATTACTGCTATTCTGATATGGTGTTAGTCTTGAGCTTACTCAATTTAACATTGAATTTGACAATATTTTTGCAAAAAAGATTTTTTATACACATCTCAACATTGACCCTGCACGACTTGCAACCAAAAGAAATTGCAGATTCCTGATATTTTGTCCATCTTTAATTCTCACCACGTATATGTTATGCTCAACTACTTCAGGAAGGAAAGGCTTTGAAACTGCTTGCAACAGCTGCTCGCCTTGATGTTGAAGATTTTTTACAGAAGAAAGTTTATCTCGAGGTGCCAGTTTACATAATATTTTTATTCTGTATCTATGCTATTCATTTTGAATCTAGACCTGCATACTTCACTGTTTAATAATATGGTAGTATACATTTTGGTTCTAGACTTAGAAAGTATTTACTCAATACTGGTGTCTGATCAGATTGAAGTGAAGGTTAAAGAAAATTGGAGACAAGACGAAGGGCTTCTTAAGCACTATGGTTATGGGGGTCAGATACGTGTTCTATAATGTGAAGATGGAGAACAAAATCACTTGTGTAACATCTATTATAAGTGTAAGTTAAGATCCCTTGCCATAGCTGCCATCAAAACATAAACTAAAAATTATTTTGGTTTGGCAGACACTAACCCCCTTCCTTTCCTTGTAGGCATGTCCAATGATCCCCTATTTGGTAAATGTTAATTAAAAATACGTTGAATGGAAAATTTAAGATATGGAAGCAATTTTGACATTAGCTTTTCTTTCCTTTCTCACATCATATTTACATTATTTTTTGCTTTTGGTAAAACAGTTGGTACGGGAGTAAATCAGTAACGTTACTTGTACTTAAACTTATTACGACCTATTTCAATCATAATACTTATACGAAAAGACAATTACCAATTGGAGGATGGCCTAAAACATGAAATATATCATCGTCAACCAACACCATAAAGAAAGAGAATGAAACCCTGAATTTATTCTGGTGAGTAGGGAACTTCTGATTTGGGCATTGATGCAACCTTTCACTGTTATCTGACTAATGGTAACTGAAAATAGTTCAAGAGATTCCAAATTCACTCCTTATCCATCTATATTTGGTTGCTTCACTCCCTGTAAACATCTACAGCAGCCAAGATTTTCCTTGTTATTGGTTGATGCATATTCTGATTGCATTAACACCCGTCTATCTGGAATGATTAATGTATGCTTTCATTATACAAAAGCATTTTGAATATTTGCTTTCAGCATGAAATATCTACTGCCCTCAAGAGTTTTAATTATTAAAAATGAAATAAATTGTGGATTTTCTTTTTAATATAGTGACGTGATTTTCTTATTTTATAATGCGTGTCATGACATTTATATTAAGTTAAGCCAATATTTATATTTAATTATCCCATAAGAAATTATTAATTTCCTAAAATATTCAATGTATACTTAAATTATTTTAATCAATAATAAGTATAATAAAATATTTACAAATCATCATTAAAGTAATATTTTAGGAATTAAATTAAATTTTAAGATTTCTCAAAATTAAGGATTTTAAAAATTTATATTTTATATTCCTATCACTAATAAAGTATTTTTAATTATTTGGAAATAAAAGCGAGAGAAAACAACCTAATTGAATAGACGAACTAATACGTTGGAGTTGGCACAGCAGTGCCAGTGGTTAAGACTCATTTGATATCTAGACCTTTGTAAACATTCAATCTTGAATAGCTAAAATAATAAAATACATTAGACATTACAACATGCGAAAGTCACGAATACGATGTGCCGGTGTGGGCACAGACACATTTACGACGGTTATAATATTGCATATAAAATAATATAATATAAATAATAAATTATAAATAGTGAATAAAAAATAGTGAGACTTAACTAGTAGTAAAATACGTGTTACAAAGTATATTAAAAATTGTGTTACTAGCATATTATTATTGATATTATAAGCACAAGCATGAATTATTAATAATACAATGCAATGTCATAATTGATTTTATCATTGTGATCTAGATGGATTAATATAAAAATTTTAAAAATAGTAAAATGTAAAAATGAATATTTAAGAAGTCATTTAAGTTTTCCTGTTTTTTCATTGAGATTAGAGAATGTTGAAGTTTTCTAGACACAGAATTCAAGCTTTGGTCATCGAATACATGTCTTGCTAGCTTTCATCACTTAGCTATACTATAAGGACATAATCCTTAGTGTTTGAAAGAGTAACATCGGTGATCATAACACAGTTACTATTTTGAGGTAGCCTTACTTCCTTCAACACATGTTGATCAAATTTAATTTATCTCTAAGCCAATGTAGAATCACATTTGAAAGAAAACCTACGCAAATTCTCGCAGACCCCAAAATAACGATGATTCTAACCCATAACGAGGATACGAAGGCATGTTGCATAAAGGCATTCCAAATCCAATACCACAAGAAAGAGCAAATGGACCCCATAAAAGCTCCCACAACCACTTGGCTCACTGTGTGAAGTTTCTGTGACACCCGAAGGTATGTCTGGAAACATAGAATAAGCCTTCGTTTATTTAAATTAATTTTAAATTATTGAATATAATTACAATGTAATTAAGATTTTTATAGAATTAATAAATTAAACGAAGACTAAGTCTAAGAAAATAAATCTTACTTATATTTGTCATGCCAATCAACTTTGAAAATTGAAGTATATTTTAGTGTTTATAAAAATGATAATATTTTTTTGTACTTTAAATATCATTTTCTTATTAGTTTTAATCTACATAAAATTTAATTTTTTAAAAATTATTATTATTATTTAATGATGTATTTACCATGTCAGAGGGACAGATCCAAAAAATATTTAAAAGAGATTAAGAGTAAACAAACTTTAATGTGTGTAATTATATTAGTAAATCATAAAATTACGTAAATTTATATTTTTTAAAAAAGTTTACATGCATACCTTTCTTTTTCAAAAAAAGTGAAAAGGGTCAGAGCCCACACTTGTTCCTCTCGGAATCCGTCAAGGCCAATGAGCATAAAAAAAAAAACTCACCAATTCAAGACAAAAGAAAGGTTAACCAATTTTACTATTTTGGAAGTGTTATATACTTACAATATAAGAACCAAATGCCAAGACCAGTCCGCCACTGCTAATGGAAATTTCATTTATCCCAAGCCATTCAACACCTGCACCATCTTAAGAGAAACAAATGATGTCATATCTTCAATATAATAATGAAAATCCAAGAACTGGGGAGAAGACATATAATTCTAATTGAAAAAAAATAAAAATAGTTTGCCTACGTTTTAACCTTCTAGATGAATGTTGTAGTAACCAACTTTTTAACTCTTACCACTGAAAAGGAAACTGAGATAATGGAATTATACAAAAACGTAAAAGCTAATCAATAATCAAGTTCACCCCACCAAATTCAAACGAATGATAGCTTTAATTGTTAACCATATAAGATTAAGATATTATTAGGATATGGTACAGAATCTATTAAAAAATTCAAGAGCAATATGCTCATATCAGTTCAATTCACCAGAATTTTATCTCAAACTTTTGAGGTATCCGAATGAGGAACATACATCACAAAAGGAAAGCAGAATCCGAACGTGGAAACTTTTAGTTCTTATCACATAATACTGAATAGAGCACATGTGGACAGAGATACACTTGTCAAAGTCATATACATAGGACCATTTTTGTCTTTAAAATTGAATATAAATAAAATAAAGTGGGATGAATTACTTGACAAAATAATGAACATGGCAATGAAGAAGATGGATTGTGCATGAGAAGAGGGCATGCCAGGGTCAGATTTCAGGTTTGAAGAAGGTCGTTTCTTGTTCAATATTATTTTGAGCGAAATAGAAAGCATTCCATTTAACATAGACCCTGCTGCAAACCATAAGGCTTCTGCATCATGCCTCCAAAATATTAAAACACCAAAAAGGGCAGATACTATCCACTTGCTCTGTAAACAACACCATCATTAGTTCTTAAAAAGCCAATTAATTACACCTTAAAGATAGAGTATGCAAGACTAAGAATCTTAAACTCAGTTTTCTGGCTGAAAAAGGTTTCTTTTATGACATACTTGTGTATATAAAGTTATAGCTAAATGATGGCACTTGGAAGCAAACAAAAGATCATGGAGGGAATGATCACTTACCCAGACACATTTGTTTTGAAATTATTCTAAGAAGGAAAATGAGGTCTTGTCAGACCCTCAGCATTATCTAAATGACATCTACGCAAAATTGAGTGTACTATGGAAGTCAGATATATGTACTTGATTCAAACATATCAGCAGTAAAAGAAAGAGCAGCAGCAAGGAACTCGATAATCCTGAAATGGTACTAGAAATGAAATAGGCTCTTATATCAAGATTGCTTATATCTTTATATTCTGCCAAAGTAATCCAACATTTGAGCGTGCCAATACATTAGGGTTAAATGTTACACTTGTTTAAATGAGTTTGTTCATCTCACTTGAATTGGCTCCTTATGCGTTGAATTCTGAATAATTTAACCCAATCTAATTCACTTTTGTAGTGAGTTAAGAAAAAATTAATTTAGTCAACCCATTAACTCGGTGGGTTGGCTCATAAAAGAATAAAAATAAAATTGAAACTTTAAATAATTATAAGAAATAAGTCATGTACAAATTTAATGTTAATATTTAGTAGTTACTATAAATAAGTAGGATTAATCAATCATTAAACAACAAACTTAACACTAAAAATAATTTTAAGAAATAAGAAGGTAGGTTAAACTCAATTTTTCTGAGCTCAATATTTTAACACTTAACCTACCGATGCGCCAAGTTAAATTGAGTAAATTCAGAGGTCTAAATCCATTTTAACAGCCCCACTAAATGAGATTATATATCATATTAAAAAAGGTCTGTCAAATGTATTTCGGATGTTAATCAATAAATCTAAATCAAAGCAAACCACAAAAATTAATAACCAATTTAATAAAAATTAAACAAATAAAAGATTGTAAAAATTAGAATTCTTTTAGTGGATTGAATTTCAAGAAAATTGATTCAATCCAAACCGAATATTTATAAAGTTAGTATCTCACTCGTAATTTTAAGACTATATATTAATAAAATTATAATATATAACTATTACTAATGATTTTTTATAAATTTATATTATATTATTATTTTTTAGAAATAAATTTTATTATTTTCATGACTACGTAAGTATATTTTTTAGAATAATTTAAATTTTTTTTGTATATCATATTTTTATATAAATTTTATATTAAAAAATTATTTAAAAATAGCATAAAAGAAATAATAAATAATTTATTTATTATTTTTTAACTAAATTAAAGGTAAATTATAAAAATCGAATTATCCAAACCAAACTAAATCACTTGTGAACCTGTCAAGCTCAACAAACATAGAGCGAGTGTAAATTTAAATTTTTTAAAAATAAATAATAATAATTTGAATATAATAAAATTAGATCTTACAACACAATAACATTAAATATAAAAGATAATATTTAATGTTAGAAACCGTTCAATATAAAAAAAATATTACAAAACACTTTGAAACAGATTCCATTATATTAATGAATAATTATTAATATTTTTTTTATTTGTATGAAATACAAACTATTGCTCTTTTAATGAGACTCGTATTTCAAATACTACAAATTTTATACTAACAGAAGGTTGTAGAAATGATATTTAATGCGGTGTAGTTTTTTCACTCTCTTAGAATTTTACTTACACTATTTTTCCTCTCTCAAGCTCTCGTACTTCTGAAGCCAAAAAAAAGTTTATTTATTTATAAGCAATGTATTCTCCTTTGCTTCCGAAGCCTCTATTTACAGAGGTAAAAAGGTGTTTCAATGACTTGTAAAAGATTTTGACCCTTATGATTGTGCGTAGTAAGATGTTAACGCTTGATAGTGTATGATTGTAGCTAGCCAAGTTCTAAAATTATTGTTCTTGAATGGTGAACAGTGCTAATTTGTTAAGCATTTTTTGGCGTATTTCGTGGAGAACTTTATTATGAAAAAATGTATATGGAGACGAGTTATCCACAGAGTTCCTGAGAGTAGTGCATTATTTTGTTTCAATCAGGACAATGAATATCTATGCTCCACTTTTGTTAGTAGCTTAGTTTGCGATTAGCACAATGGACTAATGAAAATAATCCGGAATCAAAACAGTAACGCCAGAAACAGAACTAACAATGATAATTAACCTACCAGTCGATTAAGAGTTGAAAGCTTTGACCGAAACTTGGAAGACCCATCAATGAAAGGTTGCTGTTCAAGCACTCCAACGTGTTCATCACAGTTTCCATCTCTGAAATCATAAGTTCTTATGAATCCATTCATTGAGTTTGCCACCGCAAAAGACTGATCTCCAAATATGAACTTTAGCAAAGGTGACTCTTATTGCTCATATGGGAGGATATTTGCAACGTATGTGCATGAAATCAAGTAAGCCATTTCCAATGTGCTATTTATTTAAGAATCTACTGTGTGGATGGGAGACGGTTATGGTTATGTACTTAATTATTTTGACAAAATTAATACTTTAATTTTATTTTCTGTTTTACTTTTGTTTTTCTATATTTAATTTCATTTTAGCTCTCTCTTCTTTTATTTTAATTTATTCATTATTGTTCAGTTATGGAATTTAGTAATAGTTAAATATCGTCATGATTAAAACAATTCTTTTACATTGTTTTCTATTTTCATTTTTCAGACAAGACAGCCAATGGTGTGAGTGGCATGTTAATTGATAATTTTTGTCGTGTGGGATGAATACCAAAATGATCACACAATTTGGTCCTAAAAATTTCTCTGCTTGCGTCTTTCCATACGTGTTTGATTTAATTTAGCTTTTTTAAATTCAAATTTAATTCAAATTTAAGCAATGCTAGTATTTTGACAGGTTCTATTAAAATTAACTTTCCTTGTACTTGTCTTGTTAAATTTATCCAAAAGCTTAAATAGAAAATGCAAAAAATTTAATTACAGTATCATAAGTATTTTTTGTGTTATTTTTTTCCAGTAACTCACGCAATAAAATTATTAAAAATCAGCATAAACTATGAGAGTAGAACTCTAATTTTAATTAGAAAATAATAGCCAAGTATGTGACGAGCAACATTCTAAAATAACATTACATATAGATCATATATTCTTCTATCTTATTTGATTTTTTTTTTTTCGCTAACTTTTGTGGGTGATTGAATTATTTCTCAATCTAAACTACAATAAAATTTAAGTGAAAATAATATAAAAATAAAAGTATGTCAAGGTCATTATATGATCCTTAAAATTCTGACTCTAAAGCTAAATAGAAATTTTTGAAAAGTGTATAATATGCTACCTAAGGACATTCGTGGAGAAGGAAAGAACGGTTATTTGTACAATTTTCTTCTCATTCCATTTGGACAAACTTTGATATCATTTTAAGAAATTTGTATCTAATTCATTCTCAAAAGTTGGCTTATAAAAAAAAATTATCTTAATTCTTATAAAGATTATTATATCTATATTTCTAGCCAATTGTAATTTTTTTCAACAATATATATAATATATATCATCAAAAATTATTTTTGTTAATTTTAATTTAAATTATCATCAACTTTATTTATTAAGCACAAAAGGAAAAAACACGATATATACTTTGTCGAAACTATAAAGTACTTTATAAAAAAATATTATAAAAACTTTCTAAACAGTGTAATTTTAAAAAGTTCTCTCCAAATTCACGACTACTATCGTCACACAACTATCTAATTAAAGAAATACTAAGTAAGATTATATTACAAGTGGCATGCTCATAAACAAGTTCAAAACATAATTCAACGATCAAAGTTTTATAATATTATTACAGTACGAGCTCACAAATAACAACTACAACTATAGTAAAACAAAATTCATGTCCAAGGAGTCTATGGTTGGATCCAATTCGGGCCCTCTTTCTTCATCAAAGAAATCAGAAGCTTCACCAACATTGCTCTTAATCTCATTTTAGTTTTATTTTCCATGATATCATTTTGTTCATTATCATCATCCAAATTTAGTTAATCTATAAGAACATTGTTTTAGATATAAGTTAGTAATTAACATCTTTTGTTTGTAAACATTAAACAACGAATTAGAGTGATAATGCGACCAAAAAATAGCAATATCATCTCTCTCTTTTTCGTCGTGATACCAATCCATCTAAAGCTGGGTGTTCAACCAAAGCTTCATGGTCAATTTCTTTTTTGCTTTCGGCCCAGGACCAAACTCTTTATTTCTGTTCCAACGTTCAAACACTTGACTTACTTTTAAGGCTTTAGGCTATTAGGTGTGGCTCAGCTCCACATCCTTAGCAGCCCATTTGAGTTGTAAAGTTCTAGATATTAACGGGCTTCAAAGCTTGTGCCTATGGGCTACAAAGCTCACAAATATTCTTGAAACTTTGTCGTAGTGTAGCAATGAAGCCGAGGAACATGCTTGGTTTGTCCGAGTAATATGAGCTATAAAAGAGAGAATGATGCTCATGACCCTTCCTTACCCTTACCACACCTCCACAGGGAACAAGAGGATAAGTTTCGGAACAAAAGCAGCAAATAGAATATGCTTCAAATATGATCTATGAGTTTGAGTGGCAAATGGTCAATATCATCCTTTTGCAGAGGCCATTTAGACCGCACAATTATTCCAATAGAGAACAAAGAAAGAAAATGAAATGTCTAGTGTAGTGAGAGTGTACTTGAGATAAATGTTTTAACACCGCAAAGTATCTTCTAACAACATTTGCCAATATTCTCCTTTTGCCCCATAAGCACTTTCCATGCAAGAAAGTCACATCTATTTGAAAAAAGAAGCTTCTGCTTTGAAGACAAAATCCCTTTTCAAGATCATTGTGCTAAAGTTTCACATAGTTTTTCTTTTGTTTTTTGTTTCACTAATGTGATAACCACGAAACAGTTCAACATATCCTTCGCCTAAGATTTCGGTGAAGCTATTTTCCACCATCAATAAAGTTGCGGTTTCACCCTCTTGATCATCCTCTTATCGTGTCAAATCTTTTTAAGTAACAGTCATTATCATGAGAGTATGTAACTTTTTGTTTATTTATAATAATATATAGATAGATACATACATAGAGACAGATATTGTGGGGACGAGTGAAACCCGCGTACTAGTCTTTTCAATGTGATTTTTTCTTTATAAGAACCTTTATGCATCAAAATTGATTTCTGTTCATCCCATTTTATTTTTTTTTGTTTGGAACTTGATTTTAAGAAAGAAAGGAACAAGAGAGAAAATATTTAATTAATCGTAACTTTTGTTTGAGAATATTAAAAGTATAACAGAAGGTTTGAGAGTTTTATAAATCTTACAAAAAATTTTAGAATTTTTATTTTTTTAGATCTTTTAAATTAATATTTTATTTTTTGTTAGTCGTTCTTTTTATTCCTTTCTTGTTTTTTTAAACCTCTTTTTTTTCTTTAAACTTCAGGAGTATTTTAAAATTCATGAATAGCGTTTCTTTTTCGAGAAAACTAAACAAGCTCTTGGTCATGTATGCCAGCCTACAACAATTACATATAACACTTAAGTATTTCCATTTAAATTGCACATGTGGATGTTTTAAATTTATCCATCGAATCAATTAATTAATTTTATTTGTTGTTATTAATTTTTCATTTATTTTATTTAAATATTTATCAAATTTTTATATTTTTAACCTTTCAAATATTAATTTTAAAATATTTTTTTGTTATTTTCTAAATTCTTCAATAATAACAATTAAAAGTGCATAATTTTTTAAAATTAGAAAATTTTTATTATGTATATTAATCTTAAATGTAGAAAAAAAAGTATATAAAATTCATTAGTTTTTACTATTTTTAAATTATGTTTTCATTTAATATTTGATATTATATTTGAATTAACCAATCGTGATTCTATGTAACACATGAATTAGATCTTGCCATATTGTTTGGTGAAAATTAGTTTGTGTTTATTTTCAAAAAATAGTTTAGGAAGTAAAAATATCTACCTTTGAGAGCTTTATGATCCAGAGTCGCTTCTAAAACTTAAGGGTATGTTTGATAAATATTATAAAATAAGAAATAATTAGATATAAAAGTTTGATTAAAGATAAATTTTTATCTTATCTTACGTTTTATATAAGAAAAATATAGTAAAATAGAAAATATTATGTCATTCTATGTGATGTTTGAAATAAATAAAATTATTAGAATAAATATAACTTATATTTAAAAAAATAAAATTATTATTTTACCTAAATTAATATAATTTTTGAAAGCAATTTAATATTTAAGTTTTTAATTTTTCAATAAAAATATATATTACAAATTTAAAAATATTTTTGTGTGTATATATATATATATATAATATTAAAATGTTGACAATAAATTATAATGGTTCTCTTAATTTTTCCAATTAAAAATGTATTTTTTTTGGTAAGAAATTATAATTAAAACAAATAAATTATAAAAAATTAAAAGTATTTTTATAAAATGAGTAAGATATTTTTTATGATTTTTAAAAAATACTTTTCTTAAAATATTTTTTAACAATTAATTTTTAAAAAAAATATAAAATACAAATAAAAAATATTATAATAAAATAGGACGATAAATTATCATATTATTATGATGTTCAACAAACATCAGAAATAAAATATAATAAACTAAATTAACCTGTTTTATCATGTATGCTAAGCACCAAATGAACCCTAAACATCAGATATCAGCCGCGAATCAAACATGCAGTAATTTTAGTCTATTCATCTATTCAACAGAGTATGGTCGTTCAAGTTGATCAATCTCGTTAGAAGAAAAGGTTGATGAATATATATCTTATGATTTATGTTCCAAATTCTCATCCAGCTAAAATTTATATTTAAAGGGCTATTCTATTTGAACAATTTTAAAAATTATGCACAACACCATTTAATTTAGACAATATTTTCGTGTCAAAGGTTAAAAAAATGTTCCCAAAACATATCACAAACAACAATTACTAAAATGTGAGTGTTTTTAAATTGAAATTGTTGAAAATTTCTTGTTAACAGTTGTAAAATCATTTCTAAAATATAGAATAGGTAAAAAATTTAACACGTGTATTGTAAAAAGATTATTCTTAGAATATATAATAAATAACATTTTTTTAACAGTTCATAATTCTTTTGTGAATGATTGTAAAATTTTGTCTAATACATGCATGGAATAGACAACAATTTATCTATTTATCTGTTGTTGACAATTTTGTATTTTATTATAAAACTATTCTTAAAACATAGAGTAAACAATAAATTTTTAACTATTGGTATTTTTTTGTTGATGATTATAAAATTACTTATAAAATATAGATAGACAATTTTTTTAATGTATGAACAATATTCTTGTCAACCATTATAAATTTATTTCTAAAGTATCTAATTGATAAATTTTTTAAATGTAATAAGCAACCCTCCTTAAAGATGTTAAATTAGTGAGAAAATTTATATTTTTAACATACAATGGTTAAAATTAATACAAAATCCTAATATACAACAATTTTCATCCATAATATTTTATTTGTATAATAATTAGTAAAAAAAGTCTATATATTTTTTATGAAATTTAAAAATGATTATATAATTATTGCATAAATACATATTATAAACAGTAAAAAATTCTTATAATGAAAAAGAAAAAAAAACTCTATACATAATTATTAAATATTTTCTTCAATCTTATTTATAAAAAATAATTACCAACATCTTTTTAACCTGAATTATTGCCTGTTAAAGAGGTCAATGGCATCAGATAGTATAGTTGACAAATCGTCCCCTACACTTTCAAGAAGGATTTTTAATTTTTTATAATAATTTTTCACTGTTGCTATGAGCTAAAGTATTGCAATAAAGTGATTAATCATCATAAACTTTATTAAAAAAATCATGACGATTTTAGGGTATTGTTAACTTAGCCTGTGTGTGTGATTCAACACTAACCCTCCTCTCAATAATCCTTAATCCCACCCTCGCAACCAGAGAAAAAAAAAACCACCAAAGTAATTCTCATACTTCAAATGTTTGACACTAATTTATCAAGATACTTTGTTTTTAATAAATAAATTAAAACTGAATTGCTTGCATGCATGTTGCTGGTGCATGTGTCCATTTGAGAGCACTGTGTTCCAATCTTTGACCCAAAGCTGAAAGCGAGCGAAGCAAGTTAGATGTATAATTGGATGAATGTGGTATCATGTACTGAAAATTATTATAGAATTAAGAAGCAGGTAGAATTGTAACTTGCTACTCTAACGAGTCACAGTATACCCAGGACGATCGACCCTAACCTGGGGAAGTGAGGTAGTGACACGGTTAGTACGCTAAGCCCTATCAGAGTGCAGTGCAAATTGGCAGAGGCAACATGCGTGTCGCTTGGTGTTCTCAGAGCACATGCTCGATATGCTACGTACGTTGTTATTATGAACAATTATAACTTCACACCTACTTTTTCAATCTAAATGTAGTGTGACCGAGGGAGCAAAGAATTAAAAAATATGATTGCTAATACAATAAAATAAGAAAACGAAGTATAAATCTGTAAAAGATAAATATCAAAAGTATACAAGTTGTATTATTAATTATTTACCGCAGTTACGTAATTTAAATTGATAAAGAAAATATTATGTATAATATTTTATATTATTATTTTATTTTTTATGTAAAAATATAATATAATTAAATGTAAAAAATCTAAAAATATCTCATATAATATTACAAACAATATTTTCCTATTTACAAAATAAGACAGAGACTCGTGGTCACAGTCACAGCGGACCAAACACGTACACATCATTCATCCATCACCAAAAACAATGCAACCAGCTAGTGATAAGAAAAAACGACCAGGTCTAGTTCTACTCCTCGTGTCTTTTTGACCAATTTAAAGCACTTTTTATAAAACTATTTATAGGTTTTAAGCTTTTCTTGGGAAAATAATTTAAATATGAGAAATGAAAATTAAAATTATAGAAATATGAACTTTTTTAAAAAATTACCTGAATATGGAGTCCTAACAAGAACTAAAATTATATTTTTAAGGACCCTGTTAACACGACATTGAGCTTGGTCAGTGTGATGGATCGCCTGGAAAGTTTGGCGACCTTTGAATCAGTAATAACACTCTGTAATAAGTTAAATTCTATTGATCAATATTAGAGCTCTTGAAATTCGCCGTTAGCAACCTTTTGACGAGGAAAAAGGGTTTGATTCTTCACCGTACTAGGCCACATAAACATAAGAATTTCTGGGTTGATATGGAAAATTGCCATTGCTTTTTGATCAAGAATCTCTACCATTTTCACATTTGAAGACATGCAAGCGAGGCTGGATCCCTAAAAATTATTGGTGACCTTTGAAGCTATAAATAGGACTTCCTAGTTCAACAGAAAGCCATGCGCGTGGAGGAAGCAAGAGAGAGAGAGTTCTAAGTTAGAAGAAGAAGAAGGGTTAAAAAATTAAAAAAAAAACTATGAAAATAATAAAATCTGAGTGAAAAATTAATTTTAAATTATAATAGAAAATTAGATTAAAAATGGTTAGAAACTCTATGAATTCGAGGAAGCATATCTTAAAAAATATTTTCAATTTAAATGTAAGTTTTTTTTATTTTATATTATAAGTTTTTTTGTTAATTTTCATTTTGATAAAAAAAATAAATTACATTTATCTAAATCTTTTAGTAATTTTAATGAAGTAAAATATAAAACAAAATATTTATAATGTCTTATTTAGCATTGATTGAAAATGTGTAACATGATTAAGAAATTGAAAAAAAAATAAACATGTAATTTAATATAAGTAGAAATTTTTATTATTATTAATTTGGTTGATTAATTTGTTAAATTTATTAATTAGTGTTTTTGACATTTACTAACATATTATTAAAATTTTATAACTTAAAAAATGTAAATGTATTTGGTTTGTTATAAATAGTTAGTAAATATAATAAATTAAAATATATTTATGTTAATGTAATAATTTATGTAATATTTGTAATTATTGTTTATGAACTTGATAAATATTTTGTGAAATAAATTTTTGTTATGATTAATAATATTTTTTAATTTTTTATAATAAATAATAGACTTAAATATGTTTTAAATACTTCTAAATATAATTTATTTTAAATTACTATTTATTAAATTTTTTTTCATTTTAATGTCTAACTATTTTTTTTTAATTTTACACTTAACGTTAATTTATGTCAGTTAAATAGTGATGTAGCTCACAATTTATCATATTATCTTTAATATCTCTTTTTTACTTTCTCTTAAGTTTCCATTTCACGAATACATATTAGTATTTTATTTTTTATAAAAAAATTAAGATTCAACCTAATTCATAAATTTTGCACGCTTGAACCTTAATTAATTTATTTATTTTTTTTGTAAAAATGAGAATGTCACTAACTCGCTAATTGATAAATACGATATCCAGTGAATATTCTGTTTAAAAATATTTGAAATATTAGATTCACATTAGATTAAATGAATGTTGATAAGTAAAAATTATTAATATCGTTAAAAAAAAAATTAATTTTGATTCAAGTTGGTGAATGCAACTCTATCTCCAATTTGAATATGGTTATTGTGAAGATACAAATGGTGTTGAGCATGAAGGGGTCACTATTAGAATCATTTGTGTTGACATTTATGCCTTCGCTATTAGGATCAACGTGTCAGACATTTATGTTTCTATTTTTCAAGAAAATACATCCATTTGTCTTCTAATTTATTTTTTTTTAAAAGTCTTTGATTGTAAAGTTGAATTATATAAGTTACAGTTCATTGGATTTAGTCAATGATAACATAGTTTAGAGTTTTTTTTTATAGTTATTAAAGAATAGTATTTCTTCATTAGATTCACACAATTGTTTAGCACTGTTCACTTAATGACATTATATCACTTATCCTTACGGTGAAAGACGTTAAAGACTAAATTATTTGACCACTAAAACTCGTAAGTATCATGGAAGATATTTTACAATCTAAGGAACTAAAACGTAAAACTCTAATAATCTTATAAACTAATTTATAAATTTACTCTTTTTCCATGACATCAATTTTGTTACATGATTAACTCTATACACATCACTTTACACGACATTTCAACGTTCGGTTACTATTTTCTTACGATGAATGATCATATAGACTAAATTAATGGACATAAGGCAATCTTAAAAAATATAAAAAAAAAACATTTAAAAATTTAAAAGATTAACGTGTTGAACACACTTTTTTCTCTCTTGTTTTTATAAATAAATTGTAAGAGTATCATTAGTTTTTAAAGATGTAAATTGAAGGTCTTAAATTATGGTTTGGAAAAATGTTTTAAATTATAGCTAAAGTCACAAAAAATTTTAAAAACTGTGATGTTAAAAGAAATTGCATGATGCATCTGACTTTACAGCTACAATTACAGTTGTAGCACAGTCTTGGAAACCTTAAAAATTTTGATATTACGATTGGAATTGTAATTGCGTGCATGGATATATATGAATTTGAACGAAAAAAGAAAAAACTATTCCTTGCAGGTACATGGATACTAGTAAATTAAAGGCGCAGTTACCATTACCTGAAGACTACGTATAAAAGATTTATAGCAGCATGCAAATACATGGATACTAGTAAATTAAATTAAAGGTGGGCAATTTCCATGAGGATTACATACAAAAGTTTTATAGCAGCATGTTTGAATTTATTTTAAGCTAATCCAGCTTGAAAAATTTATGCTTGGTAGTTAAGAATTAAAATTGATTTTACTTTTAAATTTATGTTTATGATAAATTATATTTTTATATTAAAATTTATAATAAATTATTTTTAAAATGATTTTTTATTTTTTATTTTTTAATAAATATATCGACCTAAAATACTCTTTGGTTAGGATTTTTTTAATAAAAGTCATAAAACGTGCAACAAAAATATGGCCAATGGGTGCCGTGGTCAAAGTTTTAGTTTCAGACATCAGCTTCATACACTGATTGCTGTCCATTAATTATACAATCCAAATTTAAATTTTGAAACATCTTGTCAATCTGAAGCGACATGATAGCTTGACTTGAGAAGATTGGAGATAGACTATATACAGATACTATATGCATAGTTTCTCAGGTGACATCTCAATTTCAATACAGATTACAAAGCTAATTATAATTTAGAACTATTATGCTCAAAATTAGCTAAAATACAAGACACATTTTAATCAATAACAGGTAATTAATTGATACACTTCCAGTGCAATCACTTCACAAATTCATGCTTTCTCTCCGTGTGTGATATAGCATGAGTCTTAGGTGAATGTGTGAGAATTCTAAATGCGTAATTTTCTTGTAGATAGTGGATGATGATTAGTGCTCCAAAAATAACTTATTTTGTGAATGAAATTTCATGCGACAAGGATTGTGATGGTCTGAGGAGAGCAGGGGAAAAGTTAAATAAGAAAAGGTATACCAATTACAATGCATTATCACAATGGCAGGATCACAGGGACTGAAAGTAAATATTGGAACTCAACGAAGAAGAAACTTACAAATTTAGAGATAGGAAACAGACACTGTCAGGTTCTGGCAATTGCAGCCAAACAGTAAAAATAAAAAATAAAATGCAAAAAAGAAAAAGAAAAAGAAAACAGTATTATTATTATTACGATTGAAGTGGCCCCGCCCTTGAGCGCCACGTGACGCATGTAGAACACGAAAGGGTCCTTCTATGCAACTTGCAAGGAGCAACGAGCAAGTGCAATCGCGTGCGAACCTCACCACCGTGTGATTTCTGCGCTGCAGTATAAATTATACTCCAGCTATTACTTTCATTAAGTCTGAATCCAAAATTGAAATCGACTAATTAGTGTCTTAAAAGTAACAGTAAACTTCAAATATTTATATTTTATTTTATTTTATCTTATATTATATGTTATTTGATACTAACATATATTACAAGTATTTGCAATAAGAGATGAAAAATAACCCAACGACCCTCCATGCTGGTTATCATTGAGACAAGTCTTATTACTCCTGACTAGGACTTGGAGCCTATCTTCCCGTTAAGAGGGGACTCAGATTCATGTCAAATCCCAATTCTCTTGAGAGTTTGAAATCAACGTCGGATTTCTATATGCCATCTCTAAGTTAGTCCTTTAAGATTCAAGTCAAATTGCAAACTGCCAATGAATTTTGATTAATTTGGGGGCATCGATTCGCCTAACTGGAGCCACTTTGGAAAGGAAAGGGTCGATGCTTAGTAAGTTTAGTGGTAGTGATGTAGCTGCAGTGAAGGCTCAAAACCAATCAATTAATTCGAAGAAGCATGGAATGTTTCAAGTTGGTCATTGCACAGTGTAACCACGTGACATTAAGAATGGCGCTGAGTCCATTTGGTACCCATAAAACAAACAATATTTTAAACAGATAATAATAAAAAATAAATAGTTATACTCCTGAAAATATACTGTTTGACGTAACGTCATTAACTCAAGAATTAATATTTAATCGACCAAATTTATAAATTTAATGACTTTTTGACATTTTTCATTGAAAAAAAAACTAACAATGTTATTAATAACAGAAATGCATGTTTGTTCTGAAAATAAAGAGAAGAGAAGGCACAAGCGATAACACTTTGCAGCTTGCAGAGTGAGCAACACATCGCCTCACGGGAAATGGCACATCTTATCACACTACCCTTCACCCATTGACTGATTCTCATTACCTCCCGTTCCTACCTGCAGGCTGCAGCTAGCTGGTGAAGAATGAAAAACCAAAAAGGAAAAAGAAAAACAATCTCCAAACCATAAATGGACGCTAAATATATTTTGGCCATAAGTACGAGATTGATTTCAGCTATCTCGTACCATTTGGGGACTATGAAATCATTAATATGGAAGCAAATCTGCGCATGCATATATATTAAAGTCTATTTCTATTAGCACTATTGCAGATTGCAGCGGGTATAGTCAAAATTAATTTAATAACAATATAAAACTTTAACACTAACTTTAATGTAATTAAACTATTAAAACAGAAAAATAATTTTATTTCAGGACATTTTATCTATAATTAGTCGCTGCACGTCCAAGCTGGTCCGACATTTCTCAACCCGGATTTCCTTGTGCTCCATCTTCATTCTTCATTGGTAAACATTTATTGGATTTATTTTCCCTGTTCCCGTCTTCATACTTTATTCTGAAAATCATTCCAAGTCTTTTTCTTAAATAATGCTATGACCTTTCTAAAGTCGTGCATAATTTTAAATTATAATAAAGAAAAAAATGAAAAAAAAAATCAAAATATGGTGTTTTAGAAGAAATTACAGTACTAATGACAAAAAATCGTGATGTTTTTTGGATTCTTTAATTTTTTATAATTTTTAAAAGATTACTTATGACAATTTTTGAAACTTGACATGTTTTATTCATGTTTAAACCAAAAATTATCGATAAGGATTCTTGAATTTATATATCCATAATTTTTTAAAAATGCTGCATTTTAGTATATAATTTTCAAATCCTATACATGAAAAATTACCGCTCAAATATCGGCCTTTTAAGTGTTTAATATTAATTATTAATGTGTTGGGAGCAGAGATAAATGTAGGTGGGGGAGTCTATAAAAGAGCAATGCTTGAGTTCAAAGAGGGTTCACTCATGTGAAATTTGAGAGAGAACAACACGTCACATTCACATCACACCACTCTCCATGCTCTCTCTTACTCTTCCCAGTTCATTCCACTTTCTGATTCTTTCATCGTTCTTCAAAGTTCTGTCAAATTAAATAAAAACTCGACCTTAACTCAACCCCTTCTCTTCCTTTCTCACACGTTCAAACCAATTATTTTAGTTTCTCTTTCACTCTGTCATGGAAGAGTTAATCTTAAAAACAGAGAAAGCCAACGCTATTAGAAGACACAACATCTTCGGCGCCATTTCCAAAACCCTTCGCATTCTCGAACTTTGCATCGTTCTAATCCTACTCTCGTGGATCCTCACGCGCCTTCCCTTCGCACTCTCACTCTCCGTTCAATTCCTCCGCCGCCTCGCCGCCTTCGCCGCCAGCCCTCTCTTCGTCTTCGCCGTCTCCAACGCCATCATCGCCGCCCTTCTCGCCCAATCCGCTCGCTCCGCTGCCCACCACTCCGCCGATGGACTCTACCGGCAGTTCCTCAACAGCCGCCATATCTACGCGCCTCCGTCCGAGCCCTCCGCGCCTCCACCGCACGCGTCGCCTGAGGTGGAGTTCCACGACAAGCAGGTCATCGCCGAGACGGTTCAGGATCGCGCTCGCGCGTGTGCCGACCCTGGAGCCGAGGTCGCGAAGTATCGCCGGAGTCAGTCGGAGAAGTGGAAGGGCGACGCCGGGAAGGTGACGCGACGGCGACAGCTCCGGCGCTCGGAGACGGAGAAGCAGCGGGAGAACTCGCCGCAAATTTTGTACCCGCAGGATAAGCTGAGCAATGAGGAGTTCCAACGCGCCATAGAAGCGTTCATAGCGAAGCAAATGAGGTTTCTACGGGAAGAGTCTTCCGCCATTGTTGTTCAGAATCCGTAGTAGATTTTGAAACCAAAAAAATATTAAATAAATCGACGAAAAATTGCGCTCAATAATCGAAATCCATCACAAAAAAATAAAAAATAAAAAATTTAGAGTGATATATAGCACTACCCGGTTTCCTTTTGATCCAAGTGTAGTGTACAGTGTTCATATTTTTTCCTTGATCATTTAAGAATGTCAAGTTTTATCTTTTAATAATTAATTACGCGTGTATAATTGCTTTTAGCTGCTTCTTTTTATGCCAAAAATAAGGTGGGGATATGTGTGCTAATGCCTATGACGTGGTAATAGATAGAATAGAACCAACCATGAAACTCAAGAATATATTCTCAGGTTATAGGTGCGTTTACCTGATCAAAATAATGAGGGATTTGATTGGGAATTAGAATCAATGCTGATCTTATTCTATAGTTTAATTGTTGAACATATGAAATATTATATATAATTGGTCAAAATTTCTATATATTTAAAGAAAAAACATTAAAAATGTTTAATTTTTTATGCTTAAGATTAGTAAGAGGGAAACAGAACTGTATGGAACTTGTTTGCGGGTTTGATTGTGGTAAAAGCTAGGGAATAGAATTGTATTCCAAATATAACGTGAATGGTGGTGCTTAAGTAGTTCATTTAGCATCCAGAAAAGCATCTTAGGTACCTGGTTGGATAGGATAATATTTTGGATCTGTCTAGTCTATTTTCGAACTACTAGTTATGTTTCATTAAGAAGTGATTTATTATGGGCATGACCAAAATTTACCTGGATGTTAAATATTAACTTTATCTTCAACTTGAAAATCCAATTATGTTTGCACTTTCCACACACACAGAGGCAGCAATAATTCCCTCCTTATTCGCTTTCCTTGCAATAGATAACCGGAATAATATCATCACGTTGCCCAACGGATGTTTTCTACCACGGCTCTCACGTCATTGATGCAAGAAAAAAATATTTGTATTTAGCCAAATGTAAATGAGAAAACAAAACCACTCAGGTAAATTTATTATGTTTTCCGCTTACCATGTACAACATAACTCTTTTAAACGCTTATTTAGTAAACACAAGATAGAAAATAATGAAATATAAAATTTAAATAAAGATTAAATAAAATAACAATAAAATTTTATCATATTCTATGTTGATAAAAAAATAAAAAAGATATAATTTATTTTTAAATAATAAAATTAATATATTTTTAAAAATAATTTTTAGATTAAAATTTTGAATTTTTGATAGTATATCTATATATAATATTAAAAATTTAAATAATTTTGTTTACAAATAATATTAAAAAATTAGAATAATTTTCTTAAATTGTTAAATTTTTTGGTAATAAATTATAATTGAAACAAAAATAAATTATATAAATTTCAAATCATTATTTAAAATGAATAAAATGATTTTCTATATAAAAATATATATTTTATGAAAAGTATATGTTAATATAATATTTTTATAAGAAGTACTAAAATTATTACACTAATATCAATCATTTAGATAGAAATCATTCGAAAAGGTTTATAAAGCATTCATATTATTACTTTTTAAATATTTCTGAATTCCTTGAGAATTATATCAACATTTTTCAAATAAATCAACATAAAAAAGAAAACCAAAATAGTCTATCTTGTATCTATACGATTTTCATCCACTTAATTCTTTTTCTTATTGAATTTCTCCCTCTTATATAATAAATTCTTGTTAGATATTGCAGGCTTATGAATACTTACATATGAGGGGGATGCTATTTTTTTTTAATTTAAAAAAAATCACGTTTCAAATTATTTGACGAAACACGGTTACATTTTATTCCTATAAATCAATGTATAAAAACGAAATAATAGTTGTTGTTTTTTTTCTAATCTTTTAACATCGTAAATTATTTGAGGAACACAAATTCTTCAACTATCAATTCAGATTTAATTGCATTGCCATTATGTTATCTAATGGTAGGTAGCTATACAAATTGATTGAGCATGTTCCTACGAAGTTATTACCATCACTTTCGTAATACTATAGAATTGATTTGATTGTGTCTTGTCAATAACCCAAAGTTTCTCCTTCTTACCACAATGCAATCCCCACCCAGCCCCTGACCCTCTTATTCTAACGTATATTTGCTTTTTTCTTCGGCAAAAGGTTTCTCCGGTGGATAATTAACTCCAATCATTGTGAAATTATGTGTTGATCATTATAAAAACAAAGTTTGTATCACTTCCATAGTACACTTGTTATGCCATCTCTCACTAGGAAAAGACACTTTCACTTTGTGTCCAAGAGATTACAATCTTGATAAATCTTGTTTATGTTGCCAGCCAAACCTTTCCGTCTTTCCAAAATGCCCTTTTTCTCTCCCTCCTTTTTGCACCTCTTATTGGGATGGTCATGATTACTTCCACAAACAATGACTATTGGAGTGGTTATGTGGTTGGGTTAGTTTTCTTATGCCATTTAGATAATTCTCAACTCCTAAAGCAACTTTTTACTTTCATTCAATTAATGGCAGAATAGGCAAAGAAGTTCACGAGAACGGGCATGCTCCGACACCTCCACCTCCACCTCCACCTACCTTCTTTAGTCTTCATGCTCTAACCCCCCCTTATCACCCATATACTTGTCTTCATTTAATTTCCATAAGTAACTTTTCACTTTACCCTCTATACCAATCACATAAATGGTTTATTTGGTATATGTTTTAAAACCCCATATAGTTGTCTTCAATTAATTTCCACAGGGAACTTTTCGCTTTACTCTCTGCACCAATGGGCAGAATATAACATACATGCTTTATTTGGTATATGTTTTAAAAAATAATTTTAAATTCTCTTACTTTTTATATTTTTAAATATTTTTAATTATTAAATATTTTTAAATGACAAATAAATACATTTTTATTTAATAAAATAATAGAAAAATTATTCAACGAATATGTATGAAGATATAACAAAGCTCCTATTTGAATGATTTGTTTAGTGATGAATACCAACAGACTATTGCTTTATTGAAGGCAAAGACAAAAGCCTTAAGCAATACATAAACCTTGCAGCTGCTCTTATCCATTGATTGGAGGAAATTTTAAATTGAAACCCTCAATTATTCAGGAAAGTTGAAAAACCCTCTATGGTCATTCGAAAGAGAGCAAAGTTGGAACGTGTTTAACTTTGAGAATAATTGAGGGCAAATGTTGGGTGTTACTATTTTTATTTTTTTTATTTTTACACTTTCTTCTATCAAACTCTCTAAAATGCCTATAGTAAGGGACCCACTTGCTCGGAAAGCTCTATATTCCCAAACCCACTTCTTTTATTAAACCACATAAAAACAGGAACTAGTCATGATTATGTTTAAGGTTCAGACAAATGTTTGCTGAAATATAATATTATTTGTAGACAAGTATAATCTAATCCAATTTCATATGTTAAACAGTAAAAGAATTCCCACCTTTATTGAGTTTCCTAGTGGCAATTAGGTTCCCCTGAGTCATGAATAACAAAGGCTGAAAAATCTCCATTTTTATCATAGTGAAATTAGCAAACAATATCCCAATACCAAAAATTGCAAGCATATTATCTTTTATAGTTGGTACCTGTTACACCCACAGTCACCAATCATGGGAAGAGAAATCATGTATGTCAGAGTGGCAGGTACATCTCTTCTCTGAGCCACCAAGAACAAGGAAGGTTGGGTATAAGACAAAGGAAACGCTGGCTTATCTTCCAGCAGTGACACAGACCATCCAGTTATGGAATGCTTTGGAACATGATTGTCTCTGTATCTATCACATTTTGAGTCCCAATGTGTTTTTTCTTTGAGGAAACAGGAAAGAATTACTGTGTCTATTGGTGAAGAGCAACGCATATGGAAAATAAATAAATACAAAGTAAAACAAAACAAAGAAGGACAACAAATCAATTATCTTGGCAGAAAAGGCAAAACTGTCATTTGTACAGCACCCTGAGTCCACCAGGAAATTATGACGGACTAAGTAACTTAGAAAGTGTTGAGCACAAGGGGAAAAAGAAGGAACAAATGGTTCATGCATATAAAGATTAATTTACTTCTAATTATACATTTGTTACTTGGGGCGTATTTAATATCACTTTAATGTATCTTTAGATTCACAATTTCAATAACTATCAATCTATGTTTAATTTAATGTTATTAGTTTTAATTTTTACGGTATATTCATATTTACATGTTTTTAAATATGCTTTGTAACCCATCTTAAGTGCATGTTTGATAACACCTTTACATCTTTATGATCACATTAAATAGATGCAAATGTTTTTTTTATTATTGTGTCAATGTATTTGGTTGGTCTAAATCAAAATTGATTTTAACCCTAAATTTATATTTAAATAAATATGATAAATTGTAACTTATTCATTGAGTTGAAAAATTTATACTAGATTTGACTGCAAACTTAAGAGATACAATTTTTCAAACATAAATCAAATTAATTTAAACTTGTTTTAAACCAAATTAATTCTATAAAATTAAGTTAATTGAAACTTAAGTCATCAAATATACATTAAAGAATCATAAGTTTACATTTATTTCAAAATCTACGTGTATAGAATTTTAACTTTCAAACATACATTTGGTCGAAATTATATCCACAATGTCATTATACCTTAGGACTATAGGGTATTACATTTAGTGATACAAATTCTTGCATACAATTTTCTTTAAAAAAAAAAAAAAACCATGATCACCTCTCCTGGAGGATATATAGATTGATGCTATCTGTGATTAATTGGTTTCTAGTTTCAATCAGCAAAAGAAATAAAGAACCAATATGTGGATGAAAAAGTTTCTAGGATTTGTAGTGTGCTATCATGCATGTTATTTAGCCTTTTGGCCTAGTCACTCTAAGGTTGAGGTTCTGCAGTCCAATTACTCATTGCATACTCCTAACCATTTATAAGAGATTAACTTAATTCTAAGATAATTAATTGAAGTTTTTAAAGCCGAAAACGCGAAAAGGGAAGGAAGTTCG